ACCGCGATGAACGGGAGACGGACGAGTCGCGAGCGGGAAGAACGCGGAAACGCGTTGAGGACCGTGACCGGACCGCAAGGTTAGGTCAGCGACTCGCTCTTCTGAGCGGTCAAAAAAAAAACAAAAAGAAAAGTGAGGTTGGAGTAGTTGGTTAAGTGGCATGGCTCGTTTGGATAAAAGTGATCGGTATCTTCACTATTCAGCAGAAGCCCGATCTGACTAGGCCCATTAGCGAAGGTGAAATGAGAGCTTTCTGGTCGCTTCGGGAAGCGATCGTCTCAACTTCGCTAATACAACAGTCATAGTGAGCGTGGTCAGCGACTCACTCTTTTGAGCGATCTAAAAAGAAAAGTAATAATACCCGAATATTAATAAAAGGTCCTAGTAATAATATAGCTTAATTCTTTTCTGGTATTTAGTGTTTTTGAGCTCCGTTGCTCAACAAAATAAGGCTAGTCAATATCCTCAATATCCCAAGGCCCAAAAATTACCTCATTCCCCTTAAACTCAGGTGTTTTCAGTCAAAAAGCGTTCTAGTGTGAATGTGAAGTATTCAACTGTCAACTTTCATAGAGTAGAGCAGTTAAAAGAAGGAAGATTCATGAGGGATGTACCCATATTCGTTCAAATTACGGTTGCTGAAAAATAAGTTAGTTAGGTTGTATGACTAAGTGTTCATATCATAGGTGTGTCGCCAAAGGTTTTGCAAAATGAACTTTTTACAAAACATCGTGAGATATTCGTTTATTCCGTGCTATACGCCTCTCGTAAAGCAGCGAATAGTACGACGCGGTGTTGGTTGGCGTGGCGAGGCCACCCGTTTTCATTAGCTTTGCGCAGAGGCGATAACGTGACCAATGAGGCTCTGCCGAGGTGCGTTTATTGCTGGTTGAAAACTTTTCCCAATTGCCCGCGATGGCCCCTGAAACATGGGTGTCATACGCAATTTTTGAACGCTCCAAGGGAGCAGCAAGACCGAGGAACACGAGAATGGGTTGTGAGTTTGGGTGCCCACACATTCCCATAGTTTCCATGTGCATTCACTCGATTTCTTGGGCCGACTCCAGTGCCTCATAAGATACTCGTTTTTGAGGTTGAGAGCAGGGCGTTATGACAATAAATTGGATTTAGTATCGATTTATTCACTGCTGTACTTGACGACATAGTATCGTAGGTACGAGAGTGGGAGATAGCGATGTGTATCGACTAATAGAGAGGGACATGAGCATGTGGCATTCATTTCAAAAGCTGCCGGTTAAACAGGAGCAGGAGGACCAAAATATATACAAATCAGAAACTTTTTCACGGAGAAGGGCCTAAAATTGCGTCGCGAATTGTTTATGCAACATTAAAGTTAAGGTTCACAATTTGTCTCCACATTTATAAATTCTCAATCATTATCCTTCTAAATGATTCCGCTGTTTGCGCGTGACTGAAATTACCAAAGTCAGCTACACATTCCATTCATCCTTTCTTCATAGTACGTTTCCAAATGTCTTCAAGATTTCGAAAAGGAAATGGTGACGTTCAGAATTCTTACTAATGTGGCAAAATATGTGTAGGGTGCTTGAGAATGTGAGATTTTGGAAAAAAAAATAGTCATTTCCCTATCCCTCTTGTTTTATTTACTGTTTTCTGTCCCTTGATTTATTTACATAGTTGTTTGTCAAAGCTTCTTTCTGGTTCCGATACGTGCAACTCCGAAAATGTTTTCAATCCTAGGAAAAAACTTGTTCTGAAAGAGTCAAAACGTGGAAAACTGCAAAAATTAGAGTTGCTGCTAGTGAAGGTTCCCGATAGCTCCAAAGTTTCTGCATTTTTTCGGCCCAGCATGGCTCGAATACTTTTCAGATATACCTATTTCAGTACACTGACCTACCCAATGCCGTTTTCTTTTGGAATCATAAACCCCAGGGGTGAATCGGGCGAAAGGATCTTGTTGTTATCCATTTCATATTCGTTGTGACAGGGTGTAAAATGAGAACGGGGCGTCAAAAGTGTCAGAAGTGTAAGGGGAAGGTTTTTAAGCCGTACACTGGAAATATTAGTAAGTCAGTAGGAATAGAAGGAAAAAAGTTTCTGTACCTCTTTTCTCCTCCTGATTTCTAATGTATTTCGCTCTCAGGAAAGTATTTGCCTGATTGACAGCCGCGATTATGAGGTCTTAAACCCCACGGGAACTCGATGCGACCCGCCACCGCCGCTCCCTCCTAATGAACGTTCAATCTCTAATGCACTCGAAATCGATCGATATCGCGAGCCGGCAGCCCACGTCTGACCACGGTCGTTCGACCGGCCGTTTGCGACCTCGATCGGACCTCAAATCCTCACTTCAAACACGCCTACATCATTGTTTATGACTACCATTAATGTATTATTGATTTCTTGAGTTTGAATTTGTAATTAATTTGGTTCCTCTTTCCTTCAACTTTATTTCAAACTGATTCCAGCTGAATCAAGTATGCTTTAGTGAATTCTACAAGTCGGAATAATTTTTGGCAGTGAATTCCATCGAAAGATGTGAAAAAAAGCAGTTGGAAGGTCTGAATAGAGGGTTGGGGCCCTATTCAACCTTTCATTTCAGAGAGGCCATCCTCTTGGGCCTTTTGACTTCAGTGGCTGACGTCAAATTTACAGCGGCGTTTTATGGCCAGAAATTATTAGATAACACTTAATAGACCTTTGAGATAACGCGAAATAATTCATTTGCTGGTCCCTAAAAACTCGAGGGTTTCTTTCTGTAATGGTTCCGCACAATCCAGTTGCAGTTTCGATTTTAAAATGGGTATTTAGTGCATAAGAGGGCCAGTCAGCATAAGAGGACCAGTCAGCTGAACCCTTATTATATTGAGGAAGGCCTTAAATCAAAGTGTTATAATTTTCTAAAATTTTAATGATAACTTTTATTGTGTAGTTTTTTTTTNTTTTTTTTTGCAGCTTCCCTTTTCTTTTTCCAAGGCCTCACTAAACATTTAAGAGCCTTTATAACGAGCTCTCTTCATAAATCGCCCTCAGCTCCACCGTATTTCTCCTTTTACTCATTTTATTTTTCTACTTATTTTATTTACTTTCTTTTATTAGCTGCTGTTAATCAATGAGAGCACAAATCTCTTTGTGGAATCAATAAATGTAATTGAATTTTCATAGACTTCAAGGGTGTTTATTGAAGAGGAATCCCAACTGGGATCCCTTGATATTGAGCGGGAACATTCTTAGAAACTTTCTTGTTTTTCGCAACACTATAAATCGTTTATCTCATATGTCCCACTCATTTTTTTGCAGCTGATATATCAAGAGGGCAACTTTGATATCATGTCATGCATGCGTTGGCGCTATCAATTTGTTTGTGCAGCACGTTTTGAACACATTTAGTAAACAAATAAGTACAACTGATTGTGAGTTGTGAGTCATTTGTTATATTTGTCCTAAACACGTTTGTACTTTGTTTTGCACTATAAAAAGTGAAAAGTGTTGAAAAAGATTGATATCGGAACACTTATTGATCACAAGCTCTCCACAAGTTTTATCCATAGCTGTTTCTTGAAATACTGCGTTAGTTCAGTCGTTAAACATTATTCGAAAACAAGGGAATGTTATTCAACTCGATTTGCTGCGCATTTGAGTAGTCAATCCTTAACATAGTCGTGTTTTGCCTTCCGGTTTTGATATTCATTACCGTTGGGAGGGTGAAGAAGTACAGCGGATCATAATTTTTATGTGTTCTGGTCTTTATTTATTTGGCATCGAGTAGGAAGTGATAAATAATGTGATTAGAGAACAGGTCAAAAATAGGTTTAATGTGGGGTTTGTGCAGTTTTTGGATCCTCGATCCCAAATGAAGTTGGTTAGGGAAATGTAGTGAAGAGAATCTTCATAGTTTTCTGGGTGCAAGTCAAACTTGATCACTATAATTGTAGTTAAAATCCTTCAAACTTTTCCCTTGTTCAACTCATTTTTTTCTTTTTGTTGCATTTCACGCAGATTTATAGATGGGGTGTTTTTATTAGTGTTTTATTTAAGCTCCTTATTCTGTGGTGCTTTTTTGGTGCATTAGTGATGAGTTAATTAGGTCATGCTTAATGTTGAATGTTTTTCCGTTCATAAGTTTCTATATTACTTTTTCTCTGGTTCTGAGCCCTCATTTGAAAGTGTTATGGAGGGATTCAATGCAAGTCATTGAAGATGTTTTTCGAGAATGTCTGGTTTCATTAATTTAAGCCAGAATTATTTCGATACATCAGATAATGGATAGTATTATTTCTCTCGTTGCAAACGTGTATGTCTGGAAGTTGTCAGTTTCAACAATTGATTGAAAGCCATTTCCAGAGACTAGTTTTCATGCGTCTTCGTTGTCGATAGCAGTCTACATTGGCCATGAATCGCACATTCTCTATGCGAAGGAAGCTAAGAAAATCAGAAATATCGACACCAACGAATTTCGAACACCGTATTCATGCTGGATATGATGCCAGGACTGGGATGTATACAGGATTACCGAAGGTATGCATTTATTTTTGTTTTGAATATTTATGTGCGTATTTGCGCATTCATCTTGATATTAGGGTGAACAGAAAAAAGTTCTTTTTTGGTTGTTTTTTTTCTTTTTTGATGAAGTTTTTTTGGTCGAAATTGGTTTAAAGAGACCATATAATGGTAGAATGACATGAGTTGAAGTAGGCAAGACACTTTTTTGTGACTTTCGGCTACTTGGTCAAACTGATTGTGGGTATCTTGTTATAGGAAACCGCTGTTATTCATGTGAAATTTTATGTGTTATTGATGTATGTATTTTTCATCAATATTGGCTTTTATTTCTTCTTTTAATAGTTATGTTGGGGGGGGGGGTGTGAGAACCTGTATTATTTTTTTAATTTTTTCTCCTTATCGTCATCGTGATACGAGTTAGATCAGAGTCAGATTTCGTGACAGGTGCAACCCATCTTTTTAACAGATCACCCTTCTCAATTGTCCGATATTTTTTTCTGTCTCTCGAGTCTTGGGTTACACACGCGTCGCTTGGAGTGCGAACAAATATGAGGTCATTTCGTAAATATCGCTACGTTCTCTGGCTACGGTTGTCGTGCCTGAAATGATTGAGACGGCAGAATGATTTTAAGTTCAGCTCCAATTAGCTCGTCAGTGGACAGCGTTCCAATCTTCCACCATAGATGGAATGCGAATGTTTTGACTGGTTTTGCGGTCATCAGGGAGTTATGAGAAATATGTGGACCAGAAAAGAGAGAGATCATGCTGAAGTGATAGCTTGCTCTGCGCTTGCTGAGTAACGGTTGATTCACCGTTAAGAATCTCATGCTTTCTCCGCTAATCCATGTTTAGTATTCCTCCTTCAACACATTTTCAGTGCTTCTCGCTCACTGTCTTATGCCTTGCTAGAAAGCGAGTCGAAAGTACCGCTTAGAGTGCTGATATGAACTTGATTCAAAAAAAGTAGTATGGAGTTCCGAGGCACATTAGTACAGTGACCAATAGGATTACCTGTGAAGCTAAAGTTCGCTATTGGGCTTCTTTTAGATGGCAGCACACTGAACTCTTACCCTTTCAGTTTTGAGTTCTGTTGTTTTGTCTTGAAACGTGGGCAGTGCAGGGCTTACAGCCTTCAAGAGTAGATTGTTGAGTGATGAAGTGTTTTTCACTACTAGCTGTTATTACTCTACTATCAGGAAATTCTGCTCAACTAGCATTCCTTTCGGTTCACATTTCCTTGGCACCTACAATTAGTAGGCCCTCATACTTGTTAATTCAATAACTAATTGATATTCATACCTCGAGCGCTTACTATTCATGCATATAACACTGTTTTGAATGTAAGCACGTTATATTATTCGCTTGTCACTGTTTTTGCTTTAATAACCTCGAAACGGTAGGGTAATCTTGACGATCACCAAAGAAATAGGGTCACCTAGAAATCAACCAAAAGTAGGGTAAGAAAATGAATGGATTGCCATCTTCAAGGTTTGCGTCGAGTGTTGTTGAAGTGCCTCTATTCGCGTGACTGTGTTAGATTCCATATGGGCCCATTCGATTGTTCTTCGCGTTGGAGTTCGACAGTTTTATCACCCTACGCAGCTCACATTTGACATGTTACGACGCCTTATGCTATTCAAGAAAAGAAGTAGTTGCTCGATTATTACACTATCATCATCGTTGACACCATTATTATAGCTAGATCTGTATAATTTTTATTGTAGTTTTGATGGCCTTGCTGAATACCAATTGAATTAGCGATCTGCTTACTTCGCAGACCGAACTGTTTCAGAAGTGGATGCTGTAATAGTTCTCTGTGATCATTTCTATTCATATGTAAACTGATTACTGTTTTTTAGCAATGGCAAGCGCTTCTTGGACCTCCTCGAACGCTTAACGGGCGACCGAAACCAATCGTAGATCCATCTTGTATCACTCCTGTGGATATTGCTGAGCTAAAGACTGTCATACGAGGGCCTGGATCAAGGTAGAGAGAAAAATTTGAGCCCTTGTTCTGCTTTCTCTTTTTTATCCTGTTCCGATGGTTTTTAGATTTTCACTGGCTTATTTTAGGCTTGTGATGCTTTTTTGGTCTCCCCTTTTACTCCGCCTTTGTTCTTGAACTAATGGCATTAATATTTAGCCGTAATGCATATTTTGGTACTTATTTCTGCCACCTTTCGTTCTAGTCATACTTTTGATGATTGCTTGTTTGATAAGGAAATGCTCGAAGTGGCCGTGTTTCAAAGTATTTTCGTGATGACTGTCTTTTATACTAGAGAAAAGTGTAGTCATAACAGTTCTGAAGAAGTTAGATTTTTTCAACGGGAATTATTTGAGTCGTGATTTTGTAAGACCGCCATCAGCTTTATTACAAAAAGATAGTAGGCGATGCTTAAAAAATATTCTGCGAAGAATACTGGTAAACTTTGGGCGGAATAAGGAACGAATGGGCTGTCGGGGTATATCGGCAAGTAGAAAGACTTGGTAGAAAAGACCTTATAGTTTGTTCAAAAAGAAGGAGATCGCATTAGCGTGAGCCTTTTGTGGCTCGTATTGTTCAAAAGACCGACTCATGCGTATACGCCACGCTGTTGTCATCACCTTTAACGGTAACTTAACCATTTTGCTTAACAGTATAAGTTCTTGTTAGCTTAGGGGTTATAGGAAAGTAGTAGTGTTTGATTCATCTAGCTATTTCTCTCTTGTTTGCTTTTGGCGACATTGGCCATATTCCGGTTAACTGATTCTGTTGACTTCATTAGGAGAGGGCGGTTTTTTATTTACTTTTCATACGGTTTCCATTTCGGATGAAGTGCATGCACCACTTTTTCGTCTCAATGCAATAGAATTTCTCCTACTTCTCTCTAATCAAAGCGAATCGTTGTGAGCGAGTTGGCTTTAAGTTTGTATGATCGTAAAAGCAACGATAAGGAGATAAACTCGTCGTCTGTGCTAAGCACCAGCTGTAATATCATATAATCATAATTGCACTCGTTATTGGATTCGCCATGTGTGTATGCCCCCATTACAACATCTGCTGGACGTCCACTCCTTTTCTTTATCTGTCACAGACTCGTCGTCCATTTGATGAAATTCTTGTTACAGAATGAACACTCCCATACCGCAACATGTAACGGTGGCCCGCAGTAATAGTCTACGTGTGTCTCCGAAGAAATCAAGCCTCAAAACGAGCAACGTACCACCTTCGAATGTTAATCCAGGGTAGGAATTCTCTAAATGTGTTTTCATCGAGATGTGTTTTATGATCAGATTTTCAAGTAAACTGGTGGAATTAATGACGTAGTCATGTATTCTTCACTGTAGTAGCTTTTCTACCGTTCCACGCCTTTTTGATCCAGTTTGTAGAGAGGTCATTGAGAATAAAGGGTCTCAAGTTCGATCAATTGTCCAAGAGGAGAAAGCGTTGAAGTAATGATGGAGTGTTGGGTCGTTTTATGAAGACGAGCTCTTAAAGTTGGAAAAGTTTAAAAAAAAAACCATTCAGTTTTATCGAGTACTCGTAAAGTGAACAGTGACTGAATGAATGTGAAGTGTTTGAGACTTTTACACATTGGGTTCTTTCTGAGAGTACTGCGAGAACTTTTTACCTCTCTGCGATTGATTTCACTTTTTCGAGGTAGTCGTTATGATGTAAACACTGCTTACCTGCTGAGGTTTCGTTACTGATCTGAAAGTAACTCCCTATCCAATAAAGACTAAAGATAGATGAAGTTTATTGAGGGAAATTGCAACAATTCACTACTTACAATTAGATTTGCAAAAATTTCAGCACATCTGCAGCATCGATGCGACCACCATCCGTGCAACCATCGCTGAAAGCACGTGGCTATCCTTTCAGTGATCCCAACTACGCTCCGCTCCCACTAAGGCCTCCTACAGTTACAACATTCGGAACCGATAAAGTGAGTAGTTTGTGCATTGAAATATTAATATGACTACTGAGTGATACTTTTCAGAACAGCGTAGCATATAGTCAGCAAAGTACGGCTCGAATAATGTCTCCAGTACTTACCGAGAATATTACACCATCGCAATATGACAGAACGAGAGAAGTAGGCTCATGGCAGCAGAATGGTGGTGCTTACAATGCACATTCAGGAGTGGTACGTTGTAATATGTTCCCAGAAACAAGAACGGTAGATGTTACACAGTTGATTCAAAAACATAGAAATGGTTGAGGCTGTTGTTACAGCTGTAATAGCCAGAGAAACACGTAATATTACAGATATCACCAAGTTCGACTGTTCCTCCATCTATTGTATCTCCCCAGAAAACTGCTGACGATGGAGTTGGCTACGAAGAGGTGCTTTTGCCACGTAGTGTTGAACTTTTTCCTGCTATAGCCTGCATTTCCAGTTCCGAGCTGCATTATCAAGTGTCGTCGACCGAAGTGATCCTCGTGCAGATCTTGCCGATTTTAAAGTGGTTGGCGAGGGGTCTACGGGTACTGTACTGGCGGCTTACAAGGTGCGCTTCATAGTCGTTTTTGGATATTAGGGTTGAATTACGAAGTTAAGCAGTTTTTGCAGGTGTCATCTAAACAAATAGTTGCCGTAAAACGGATGAATCTAAGAAAACAACAAAGACGAGAGCTACTTTTCAATGAGGTGGAAAATTGTCGTTTCTTATTTGTTTGCTCAAATCAAATGATTTTTGTGATAGGTTTCAATTATGCGAGATTATCAACACGCGAACATTGTTCGAATGTTTTCATCACATATTGTTGGGGACGAATTATGGGTAGTTATGGAATATATGGAAGGAGGCTCGTTAACTGACATCGTCACACAGACTAGGTATGGGCTGTATGATTTTTTTGGGGAGCTATCCAAGACAAAGAGCAGTGATTGAAGGTATTCTTGATTGTTTTAGGATGACGGAACCCCAAATTGCTACCGTTGCATTGCAAGTTTTGAGAGCACTCGAGTTTCTTCACTCACGCCGCGTTATTCATAGGTAAGATAAGGAATTATCCACTCTGTGGAAAACATCGTGACATTGATGCCTTTTTCGATTTTGGTAATTCTTTCTTTCAGAGACATCAAAAGTGATTCGATTCTTCTCAAAGCCGATGGAACTGTTAAGGTGAGATCTAAAGCGATTGTATTTGCGTTCGTGCATTGGCTTCACCTCGTTATCGATATTCTATGATATTTCGTTTTCTTTGTAGATTTCGGATTTTGGTTTCTGTGGTCAACTTTCTGAAGAGTTTCCGCGCCGCAGGTCCTTGGTAGGGACTCCATATTGGACAGCTGCCGAAGTGAGTTTTAGTTGTCGCTGAAAATGAACATTACGTTGATTTTGGAAGAAAAGGTGGCAGTATACTTATCACAAAGAATTTTATTCAGAAGTCATTTGACGCGAAGCTTTTTCATACTTTTTTTTTTACTGAATCATACATGCGCCTTGTTCAGGGTTTTCCTTTGTTTTGTTTTCTGATTTGGTTTTGGTTCTTGTTAGTCTCTGATCAAAACATCTGATTGAAAGTGCAGTGATGAAAAACCTTATAAAGCGATCTGCGAAATCCATTTGTTTAAACAGGTGATTGCTCGGCAACCATATGACACTGGTGCAGATATNGGTGAACCACCGCTCTTCAATGAGCAGCCGTTTCAGGTAACAGTTTTGGTTAAGCATCTATATTCTGTCTGCTTGACATTCCGATTGAAAAACGGAAAATTTTAGTTTTTCACGGCCTAAGTTTTGGGCAGATGATACACTTTGGCCATTGCTATGTTTACTTATGTCCCCAACACTACAGGTAGAATTTTAGGCGATGAAAATGATCCGTGACGAACCTGCTCCAAAGTTCAATCCGACTGCCAATGTATGTTCCTTTTACATCTCTTGTCCTTACATTGTAGTCCTTTCGGCTTATTTAGTGATTGCGCTCAATTCCCTATTTTAAGGTATCTGCGGAGCTGGCTCATATGCTTAGTCGATGCCTCGTAAAAGATCCTTCTCAAAGAGCCACAGCAAGCGAATTATTACGACATCCCTTGTTGACGAAAGCACAACATCCAAGCTGTATCGCTCATTTAATTCATAATAATGTAAATAGAAATTGAAGCTACTCAGTTGCGCATCAGATATTCAGGACGCGCTTGTGTACCGGTGCCTTATGTGTGATGTAAAAGCATTTTGTTCTTTCATATGGCAGCTGAGCTGACCAAAAGTCCTGTTGCAGCTAATCCATTTCTAGTTTAAATTGTAAAAATAACAGTGAAGTAACCCCGTAGGGGTTAAAACTATTGTCCAGTTTGTCCCTTGCTCTGTGAGCCTGAAGAGTTCTCACAGTTTTGTCCGTCTTTTAATCATGGGCTACACTGTTACGCACTAATCTTGGGCTCACCGGTTTTGTTACTGCCCAGTCATTAACATTCATATTTCAAGGTGCTGAATGGGTTAGTAGGTATTTCATTCTCAATAGAGTTTACTTCCAAAAGTTTTAATCAATAACGAAGTTGCCTACTTTTGCACTTACGCATCATATCGAGTATCGCAGCCTTCAATGTTTCAGATTTTACTATTTGTACATACATTTTATGTTTATGTTTTTATTTTCATCAGTTTTGTTCGCACTCTTCAAAGCTCAAGTAAGTTTTGGATGCTCGCGTTTGGAACTGCGGTACTTAGGACCGCGGCAATGTGAGCAGTTGAGTGGTCATTTTCAGTGATTGTGCTTGAAGAGATCATCTCAGCTGGTCGTTTAGGTTATAATTGTAGAAGCCTTGATTTCTAAGTACAATGTTTTACGTTTTACTGACCGGTTCCTTAAGATAATTCATGTGCATGGCATATCATCATTTACAGTACTGATTTAATAACTAATAATATGGCGGTAACATTATGTGAAGTTACTTCAGTTGTACTGTAGTACGGGTATCTATTATATGATTGTCTATGTTGATGGATTCGTTTTAATATTCTAAAAAATAAAGTTTGCAGTTTTTGTTGAGTTCTTTCTTGATTGGTTAGGTGATTTAGGGTATTTGTCATCTTCAAAAAGCAATAACCGGCTTTACCTACCGTAACAGCTAGTACGACCTCCTTCAGTGTTTGAATGACCTTCAGTTGTTTAAAGTGATTTGAGGATCGGGGACTATTGCAGCTTGGTGGACTACAGCAGTTAATTGTAATCAGGCCCAGCCCTTGTAACTTTAACACCGAAGTATAACCCGGTTCTACGATAGTTCCCTTTTTAATCAACTCCTTTAAAATGTATTTACGAAGGCGATTTTGCACAGAAAGACTATTTTTTTTGAATGTATCCGCTAAGGAGTCACTGGATTGCTGGGGGTCAGGAGTTGCCATAAACGCACGCGACAGCATGGTTTTTCTGCGAAGATGGCGACTGCTGATCAGTAGCTCTTATCTACCAGTACAGCCAAGCAAAAACAGTTGAAATACTAGGTCAGCAGCGCAAAAAAATAATCCATGACTTATCACTGTACGTAGGCTGTAAACATTCTCACAGCATATTTTTCATTTTTTCCCCAAATTATTTCTTTTAAACAGAAAGTAGTTATGGCATATACATATGGGACGTCGTTGTTGAGTGTATTTTGCCATTTGTTGGTAAATAATAATTTTATGTTCATAGGAGTCCACTTGTTCACTCATAAAAAACTTTCCCACTTCGATCTTGAGATGGGTACGTGTTGTGGAAGTTTTTTTTTCATGCAAGTTGTTCTGAAATCACTTGGGCAAATTTTTCTAAGGGATTTATGTACAAAGAAGAGGGTGAATGAGGTGTGAAGGTAAAAATTTGCCTGGTAGGAAATGCACTTTAGCCGGCTTGTACATGACTTTGCTTCCTACAGGATCAAAGTAGTGGCAAGCCATTTTGGCAGAGACTGCACTATCTTCACGGTGTGGCTTTCAATGGATATTCTAGGATATCTCCACCGAACACAGAGCGCAGCCTTTGCTCTGCTACTGAGGTTTTGCTGCTCGTTTTCGTTTTCGTGCAGCTCACCAGGTCCAAGCAATTGGTACCCGCATTCTGGTAATAATTCGCGTTAAACACCCACTTCTCATGCGGTAATCGAGTCCTTCAGCCATTCAATATTCAGTAGTAAGCTGAGCCTTGGCCCAAGCAGATGGAGGTTAGTAGCTATTGGATGTGCCAGTAAAGTAGAATAAACGGCTTGAATTTATTTTTAGTATTTCAAACTAGAAATTCATTTTCTAGTTAGGACGGACGCGGTGTAGTAGCAAGAGACGCACTATCACACATGCTTGACCTGAAGATCGAATTCGGATCGGTACTCAACCTTCCATCCATCCAGGCTCGTTTAGTTGGTACCAGACTCGACTGGGAGAATAAAAGCACTGACCTATCCATCAGCTGGCCACCCCAATTCATTGTTTAGGCCACGCACGCATTCAAACGCCACTTCGATTCTGAATGGAGGTCGAAAAGTGAGCGCATTCGAAAAAATAGCAGAAAATAAAGTAGTTACTCATGAGTGGTAGAAAATTCCCGAATCAGAACGTGCCAGAACGCTGCAGCACTCGTACAACCTATATTGGGAGAACGTCCGTTGCGCGCGTCCGTCGAAAGTAGGTCACTCCGCCCACTTCGCGCGCGGCGCACCCCACTGAGGTTTCGCAATTACATTACAGTACCATCAAGTGTCAGTGGAGCGCATGATTTGCATTTGTCCGTGTTATCTCCTCTTTGGCTGACTGCCGTGGGCTAAGTGCAAATCGTATGCCCCACTGACAACTGCGACGTCTGTCAAGTATCGCGGGCTGAGCCGCCGCATGCGACGGCTGTGGCGTGACCTAGTTTCGATGGACGCGCGCAACGAAGCGCACCCCCTATATTGTACTCGAATGGGAAGCGGTCGTTTGGCACGATCTCTCCCATCGCGCCGCCCATTCGACGCGGTTTGCGAGCTGTTCAACTCGACCAGTGTTTGGACAACCCTCTGCCCATCCAGCTCGATCGATGAGCCGCTACTATTGGGCGCCTCATTGTGGACCTGCTTGTATTCTGCCTATCAGTGTGCCGTTATCGATTGGGCTTCTATCATCTAGATGCTCAATCAAATGGACGAGTTGTCCAGCTCGCAAACCGCGTCGAATGGGCAGCACGATGGCAGGGATCGCACCAAACGACATACATTCTATTTAGATGAGCGCGTGCGGGAAAATAATTCCACCGCAGAACCTTCCACGTTCCAAACGTGACCATCCCCAATTGGAGGATGATATGCCGCGCGCGACGAGTGCGGTGCGATCGTTTCGTGGGCGATAGAGCGGAGCGTTCCCCATTTGGCTACAACCGATCAATTCCTGACGAGAGAGTGCAGTGAGCAGACAACGAGCGTACACGCCCTTCTCTCGTTGGTAGCGCAGCATGTAGCGCTCTCTTCCCAGTCTAAGCCCTCTCGTTGAGGTAGATTCTGGTTGTCAACAGCCCAGAACCCAGCTATTTTTATATTGGAATGCCGCTATTGTACTGCGGATTCGCCTAGGGTCGATCCTTGTCGGCTATTGTGAGTTTTCTGAAGTTCTACGTAATGAAACACTTCCATCTTTTTGGTGGTATTACTCGATTATTGTCAAGTTGAGGGAGGTTTAGATTCAGGATTTTGCTTTGGCTTCATTTGTGTAAGTAATTAGAATTAGCTTGATCAATATGTAATAGTTACAAACATTTTATTTTCTTCTAATTCTACTTCTTTAAAAAATTTTTGCGGGACCTCCCATGTAATCGATGACTACTTCCAAACTGTAACTCTCCACAGTGAAGGAAGTAGTGGGAAATTTATCAGTGACGTCATTCTTATCACGTCCTATCTTGTCATTCCTGTAGCTTCTGGGGAAGGTGTGATTCATTTTGCAAACTGTACTCAGTTATTGCAGTCGAGTGAAGGGAGCCCAGTGCAGTCAACATATCGAAATTCAACTTAACGTGAGTTGAGTTCAGCACTTATTCCGTTCTGTTCCCTTGGAAAACTGCAGTGTCTCTGCACGGGGAATCGATTCGTACTTTTTATACGGAGTGCTGAGTCATTCGTGGAGAAAAGTGTGCAATCGTGGCGGAACAGCGAAAAAAGTGACCAGCTGTGAGGAATACACCTACTGTTGGGTGGAAATGTGGTAAATGGAGCTTTACTGCCGTCTTGGTGCATCCGTGGATCCCTGTTTATTTTTAAGGGCGTTGTAAATATGGTTTTTCTAATTGCCTCGGTTCCAACACATGTTGAAATGCTCTGGAGTATGATTGCTTTTCAAATGAACTGAGAATTTTTCATGTTATGGCTACGAACACCTACAAAACTCCAGTACTATTCTGAAAGGAGGTCGAGCGCGAGAGCGCATCCCAAAAACAGGATTGGATAACTTTAGAGACTTTGCCCGTAGTCCTCCACCCTAGATTTCGATCACGTCCTGCTTAGCTGTTGGCTAAATGTGCTTTCGTAGATGAGGAGTGTGACCAGCTGGTAAAGAGCTCTTAATGGCAGCATCCTTGAGCCTGTAGGAGGAAAAAAGAGAGCCTCTAAATATCAGAGTGGCGTTTGAAGACATCTTCGTTATGTTCGCTTGACGTCGTTATTTCACTGCAATTATACGCAACAGAAAATTACCTGTTTATCAAAAACATGGCCAGTGTCCCACGATGCAAGGATCGAATGATGTGGTCCAGCTGGTCATCTGTTCGTGTAAGGGGTATAGGTATGATTTATAGGCAGGCCAGGTCGGACTTGCGTCACGATTGTATGGATTCTGGTGTCCACCCCAAAACGCAGAACATTCTGAATTCGTTGGAGTGATAGAGTTAGGTCACTTCCGACTGATCATCCATTTCGTTTTGTTTCTATCAAGTGGAACTCTTCTTTGCAACTCCGAAGAATGCGTTCTTCCAAGTTCGTGATGGAGATTTGTTCAAACGTTTCGTGTTTGGCGAGGAAAATGATAAAGAAGATGTTTGGGGAAAGCAGCACGCGCGAAATAACATTTCTATGTTATTCATCATCGATTCTTTCTGCAAGCACAATGTATGTGTTATGCAACTCAATTTTTAATCATTATTTCCATAAATCATTCATTGAATTGACTGTTTAAATGAATGTTTACATGATGTACTTTATACATTTTCAGAGTCATTACTAGATGTCACGATGGCAGCAACTTTCCAAGACAACGCTTTAGTTGTTAGGAAGAAGTCGCAATCGACTCTATTGTTGATAATTAAGAAGAAATGGGTGCTGGGAAATTTCTTCTCCGTCGACCTGCCGGCTGTCGGTGAAGTAATCACGGTGAACTGGAGGTAGCTTTGCCTCGTATTTTCTCTTCCGACAATTAGAAGACAAAATTGCACTGCACTACGATATCGTCTTGTGTTGTTTACTAAGTATTTACGAATGATCTTGAAATAGTCCAGAATTTCAGGAATGCTAGAGCCCGTGATACCATCGACATATCCGGCTGGAACAGTTGTAATGAGCCCATGGGAGGATTTGTTGTAAGTGAATCGGCTGGAGAAAAAATTAAGGTTGGTTCTAACAAGCATTATCCTTTTTTCCTCGCACGCACACCTCATCCATTCTGCCCCGGGTGGACTGCTCGAATTCATTCAAACATAGGAGAAGTGTTAGTAAACAGTTGAATGCACAGAAACAGAATTATTTAAAAAGAAAAAAATGAGAGCGTGGAATGTGTCGTGGTTTATCGATTGTTTTATTCCTTCATATGCTTCTATGGCTAGAAACACGATGTACTAGGTTTTTTTGAAAAAGTCAAGAATTTTGTTGCTCGAGTAGACTGAGAATCGAATGGACGGCAAAAGAGAAAACTAAGGAGAGTTGAGCAGGATACGGTATTTTGACTACCGCACCTTCACGATTTTTTGGTCTCTATAACTCTCTATAACTTAGCCAATCCTGTTGCATCTTTCATTTATTTTTTTCCGAGTGTAGCTCTGAATGATCAGTGATTTTTAATCACGAAGAAATAACAGCAACTGTATGACTGGCACCAGTGATCTGTTTGCGACGCTAATGTGATAGATTTGATCGCATTTTTTGCTGAGCAACCAGTCCACATGCATCTAACAATGAGAAAGATTGCTGTAGATTGCATTAGTGCAAAGACGAAGTCTAGATGGTCATGAAAATTATTGACAGCACGGCTGCAGATAGTGGCTACTGATGTGACTTTTTTCTAACCGCCGATGACATCAATAAACAAACCAAAAAAAAATATTGTTAATAATTTGATTATCCATAAGTGTATATGTGATTCGTTTTGCCTCTTTGATGACATCAAGACGAAGAGGGAGGGAAGAGAATTTTGAAACCATTTTTGTGATCTCTTTTTATCGTTACGACGAAACAGTGTGGCGGTTGGTCATTACTTCATTAAATTCTGCCTTGTTTAGTTCACCGGTATGTTTTATACTACGGGATGTATTATATTGAATGGAACACCATTAGAAAACCCAGCAGTTTTCAACAATCTTATCGGTGTGGTGGACGACAAAGATAAAGTGTTAAAAGAAGATTATATAGGTAAGTCGATTATTCATTACTGGGGCTGTTCGTAATATGACCTTCCTTTACCTTAGTTAACATACCTGAAGAATTTCAGGAGATTCCTGTAACAGTCATTAATTTCTCTGTTGAGAGTCTGCTTCAGTATAAGTAACTCCATCTGTGTTTTTTCTTTAGGTAAACTTAGAGCCACTGTTACACTTGATGAGAAAGACGGTGGTTATCAGTGGATACTCTGCGAAATAAACGAGTACTACAAAAGGGGAAGTAATAAGGTAAACAAGAGATTTTGTCCTTCCAACGATATATGTAGTTTTCTTTCTGGTCGAACATAGCGCAGAGCTTTAGCTGCTGATTCAGTGACATGCAAGAGGTCTACGCATTAGTTAGTGCTGTAGCAAGTTTCAGTTTCCGCAAGATATGAGTTGATTATTTTTTGAAATGGGGTCAGTGGCAACTCTATACAATTACAAACCATTGTGGTTCAATAACTTCCCATCAAAAAGTGCGTTAAAATGCTCAAACTCCATGATTTTCCCTAATGTAACTGAGCCAATTCATGAAGACTCATATGTTACTTCAAACTGTTCAGATATCTATGAATTGATCTCTGGCTTTGGTTATCACAGCTTACAAGTTGTTCCTTTTCTTTGATCATCGTTTTCATCGTCTTCTTCCCGAGGATATGAATCGCTCTCAAAATAGCAATTCGATACTAACTACACCTTCACGTACGGTTCCATCAATACGCTGAGCTGCTGAACCTCATTTCTATCGAATTTATAGTACGTATATAAAATGTCACTGTCGTGCCCTTCCTCCGAAAGTCTGCAGGTATATCTGAAAAAATGTTCTACGACTGCCATCGGCTGACGACGGGTTCCACCAGTCTGAGCAGATGTTCCAGTCTTGCTGAAGTGTCTCAACGTTTCAATTGAAATTAGGAAAATAGCTCACGAATTGCAAATCTTTCTTCCTAATTTTTAGGTGCCCGATCAAAATTTGCCCTACAAAGGGGTGGTTGGTGCGGTGAAACAAGGGGCAAATAAATTGACCAATTATATAACATCACGTTTCTTCCCACGAGATGTGCCTTTCTATACAGGGACAAATGTGTAAGTTTTTTACTCTTCCGTTGCTACAATTGTTTCCAACTTGTTTCGGAGCTCAGGCACCCAGTTAGCACCCACCAAGCGTCGTCGTTTTGTACAGTTGCGCTTCTATACATTATGGTTTGCTTGTTCCTTATTAAGAGATCTTACCATCATTACCTCTTTAATCATTTCATTCGCTTGAGCTACCCAACACCTCTCCTTCATTCCTGCGAATGGATTTGGTACAACTAAATACATATATAGGTCTTCCAGCAGAAGGATCTTTGTAGGAGTCCGGAGCTAATAGATGGCCTGCTTGGTCGAGAAGTATCATTTGCGGCCTCCAAAAATACAGGGCCGGATGGTTATTCACGTGCTATTGGCTCCATCCAGCCAATTTCTGCAAATAGATTACCTATCACCGTATACGGCTCCTTCTTTAAGGTAGGAAGTACTAGTTTAAGATTCTCCTTTATTTACCAATCATAATTTATTCTAGATAGATGTAGATGTCGAGTATATTGGTTGTACCGATGAACATGGGAACACTATTGTGTGGAGCGATCAGTTTGAATTTATGGCAGACATACATACGCTCTTCAAGAACCGCGGTTTGTTGTAGTTATATAACTTGTCTTTACTTTTTTTCGTGCTTTGAGGTCTCGGTCCTTTTTTGCTAACCAGAAATCATTCATATCCCCTTCTCTTATTGTTTCTGGAAATTCTTTATCTCTAAATCTGTGGAGGAATTAGCAGTTATAAAGAAAAATTGAACTGTTTAGTGTTTGACGTGATTTGAGTAGTGATTCTTCTTTTTTTCAGCATTTGGCCTTTATCGCATCGAAGCTATACGGCACCACAAGAAATTCGAGTTTTCAAGATGGAAAGTGACTAAGGTATGCCGGTGCATCGAGGCACTCGATGGAAGTGATGTCGCTCGTTCTTCAGTAAGTTTTGAATTGCCTTCAAAAAACTGTCCATAATCTTTTTTCTAAAAAGTAAGCATCGAAGATGATCTTCAATCCCATTGTTTGAGCTGATTCATAATCGGATTATCGTAGAGATTCTTGTTACAAATGTAGGGACTGTTTTTGTTGGTATAGTCTGCTTTACACACGATTGGTTTCCAAGCCAAATTTACCACTCTTCCACACCCGTCGGAGTTTTCAAGTTCGCGTATACACGCTGAGCTGATGTTTTCCTTTAGTTTAAACATTTGGGAAGTGACACCAGTGAATTGCATAGCTGCCGAAGCTACGTTGGATATCTCGATTTCGTCACAAAGATGTAGAATACGACTCGCATTCTGGGCCTAATTAAATTCCGTAAAGGTCAATAAACCTACCACCCCTCAAAGTGGTTTTTCGCTACCTTTTTAACAATAGATCAAATCGAACATTCAATACCGCTGTATCGAGTAATCGATCATCAAAACTTTCGTTACTTTTAATAGGTGGTCACTGAATGTTTTGATTTGAGAACAACCTACACCGCAAAAGAAGAGAAAAATTAGGATCAAATCTTAAACTAACTTGATTCTAACAATAGAGAAAATAAGTTGTTTTAATACAGCGCAGTTCTCCGTGTTCGTCAAGGCACCTCTCGAAACGTTGGGAGGACAAAAATAATCGGGTCCGTGACCATTCAGTTGGAAACGGTAAGTTGATGATCACTTCAATTGTAAAACCTGGTAAATATTTTCATAGGTCTGGTCAATAGCCTTGAAAATTTTCCGTTTCTATTCATTTTTAGACCTCTAAGCCTATAATGTAGAGTGTTCGTTTAACTCTTGATATTCATTCAAATTTTTGAAAAAATTGCTTGTAATATAGATACTGGAGTTGCTTTTTGAACTACAAACTAGTGCGTATTAACTGCTGTTAGGGACGAGTTCGAGACTGTTTTTCATTATAATTCCTTGTTTTGTTTTTTGAAAAAAACACTGATCAGGTTCTCGCTATCAGAAGTGCTTTAGGATTAGCTAAGAGAACCAATACACCCCCTAAAATTCGCAGGAATCATGGCTCTGGAGTGGCTGACGTTTCAGAGGTGACATTATTTCTTTTTTCATTTTTTTTCCGTTTTGCGATAGTCCCATGTGGATACGAAAAATTAGTGAAGACGACGTGCTAATGATGTTTTGGAAGAGCATGAAAAAAATTAGGAACTATTCCACTATTACAACCCCAAAAACTGAAAATTTTAATTTTCGATGAAACTTCGCCTATAGGGGTAATCCGATGCCCTGGTAACGAATATGACCTTCACTTTCGGCGCTGGCGCCATTTGGCGCCAATTTGGCGCCAAGGGTGTTTTCACCAAATTTCCTGAAAACTTGCGTTCAGGGGTTATTCGAGGTCCTGATAATGAATATAACGTCCATTTTACGCGCTGAGGCTATTTGGCGCGAGGACAAGGCATACAGGTTAAGGGGNGAAGGTCATAATCGTTATCAGAGCATCGGATTACCTCTATAGGCGAAGTTTCATCGAAAATTAAAATTTTGAGTTTTAGGTAGTAATAGTGGAATAGTAGCAAAAATTATTATCGAGAGAGTGTTAATTAGAGCGTTAACTACAACTGTTAGATTGATCGAAAAGACACGATAGGGTGTTTTGAAACGTGCGAGACTTTCGATTTTTGACTTATATCTACGATCTATCACGTGATAGTTGTAGAACATTTTGGAAGCTTCAAAAGGTATATGAGGGCGCGTGCTAAACACAATGTCACAAGACTATCTTCGAGCATCATCTTCCATGAGTGACGTCGCGGCACTGGGAGCGGCAGCATCAGTCTGCAACAACAACAGCGCTTCGCTGGTTTGCTCGCTTCAAGGAAGGAGGTACGGGGTTCGAAGACAAGTCTCGGTCCGGACGTCCCCTCGCCGTCGACGACTCCGTCATTTTCGACGTCGTCAGAGAGGATCAGGGATTTAACACCCCAGTCCTGCGACGAGACTTGGGTGTGCCAATCAACAGCCGTCGGTCGCCTTCTGGCCCTCTGTTACAGAACAGTGCTGATTCGATGGATAATCCATGTCTTGACCGATAGCATGCGGTACACCCGGGTATCCATTTGCCAGTCTCTCCTTCTTTGCCCACATCGCATGAAGTTTCTAGAGGACCCAGTTACTGGATATGAAAGTTGGATCTTCGACGGCGCTAACAAGCCCCGCGCCGTCTGGCTTCCGCGAGGAGAACAGCCGCCGACGCAAGCCAAATCCGGCCTCTACCCCGGAAAGTTTCTCCTTTGGTGCATCTGGGATTCGAAAGGAGTGCTGTACTACGAATTGCTTGGGGAAAGCCATACTGTCACCGCTTCCTGTTACGCTGATGAGATGCAGAAACTTGCGGAAGTCGTTCGAGAAAAGCGGCCACCTAGACGAACTTCGGTGCACCTCCTCCATGACAACGCTAGGCCTCACATAGGTAAAGGGACCCGTGCAAAAAGGAGGGGCTAAGCTGGGATTTGGTTCAACATCTACCCTATTCATCTGATATCGCTTCCTCAGATTACCACTTGCTCCGGTCCCTCAAGGCTTCCCTAGCAAAAAAAAAAAACGATTCGTCAACTACGACAACCATGAACAAGTGGTCGGTAACTTTTTTGATTCCCAATCTTTCCAGTTCTGGCAGATGAGAATCGCTGACCTGCCCGTGGGTGGGACAATCTTATAACTCATGGTTATTATATTGTTGATCAGCTTGCATTGTTTGCTAAGTTGTAAAATGAAACAGAAAAACATCCCAACTCTTTACAGACTTCTTGATCAACCTAATAATAATCTTAGCTGTGCAACTTTATCCTTCCGTTTCGTAATAGTCAGGACACGGCTTTGGAGAGTCATGGGCTGCTTCTGTAATCAGAAGCGGATCTTCCTGGAAATATGAGATCATTTCGTAGCGAAATTTCACTGCCATTTAAGGTAATTCTTGAGTACAAGAAGATTCATTAATGACTGCTCTTGATGGGTTGATTGTTTTGTTAAGAAGTGATCTTTGTTTTTGCATGGAAAGAAGGGTTCTTCAGGCAGAAGAACGGTCAGCTCATGCGTCTCCCACTTGCTACCGTAAAGAAGAGCCCACTCCGGAAAAGGACATAGAAGTAAAGCGTTACGATTCTGGCAAATGTTCAAATTATGATTGTGATTGCTGCAAATTTCACCAATTGCTTTTTAGGCAAACTTACGTACATGTTTGCATAGATGTTTGGAATCGATCAAAGTTCGAGCAGCCATAAAACAAGCTGACCCCCAATTTTTCGACTCGCTTGTGGCTGCTTTGATGAGCGTATAAGTAACCAGTAACATCCAGCTACGACACAATGGCGCTGCATTATTACTGCGATGTTGAAGTTCCGCAAATATTTTATCATGCCAAAGTTTTGTTCTGTTTCATAGAAGAGGTGTTTTGTTGATTGATCTTGTATTGGCATCCTTTGCTGACTCCAACTGCGTTAGAATTTATAATGTTTTATCGGGCTCAACATTTCAATATTCTACATGGTGTTTATATTGTTGCCAATACCCAAGGCCCAATAGTTACCAAGTTTTTTTGTAGTGCAGAATCCTACCTAGTCTCATTCTTATTTTGTCCTACCCGGGTGGCGGGACTTCTCCCCGAATTTCTACAGCCAGCGACAGTCGCTCACTGCAGCTGCCGTATTCTTCCACTGGGAATTCGAATCTTTCCCTTCACAGCGCGCGATCAAGCGCGACACGCCGTTCGGGGAGAAGTACCAGACCCGTCCTACCAGCATTATAAGTGTACAGTTTCCTACAGTTTCCTTGAGCTTCGGTTCGAAGTGCTTCTCATTTTCGTTGCTAATCTACTTGGGTCAGATGAAATGTTTTGTTATATGGAGCTGGGCGATGGTTTTCAGCCATCTTCCGGTGCTTCATTCATCACGGTCCTTATAGAAGCATAAGATTCATTGTCAAGCACGAGCGGTTGTCTATAATGCAAATATTTGTTTAGTGCCCCCTTATATGTAAGCTTCTGAAGATCCATGTCATTATACTTGTAATTCATAGCTTGCAGTGCCGCATATGTGATTGAAGGCTTCAGTTGGTGTTGCTTAGTATCGACTGGTATCATACTGGTAGAAGCCTGTCACAAGCCGTCATTTTAGTGCATTGCAAGCATCCCTTATCAAACTTGTAGTCATTGTACCGCAGAGGTCCTTATTATGGATACTTGTTCGTGTCACAAATTGGTTTTAATCGGTATCGATTGATCGGAATCATTATGGCGATGTAGACTCCTATGTGATGATCTATGCTGTAAAATCATCAACATCTCAGCAACCTTTTGACTTACTTCTTTTGTTACTTGGGCAGAGAAGTGAGGCGGAAGTTCATTGAGTTCATTACATCCGCTAAGTTAAAATCATTTCTTCTTCTTCTTCTTCCTCTTCTTCTTGTTCTTCTCCCTGTCGTCAATTCCGCTCCGTCGCAGGGTCAGTATGGGTTAAAATGTTTTTGCATAATATTTTCGAGAAGAAAATGTTTTAAAATGATCAAAACAGAACCTTGCCAAGGGGTTTTATTAGAATGCTCTAGTGAGGTTTTCCAAAAAAAGTCATATTCTTCGCTTTTATTCTAATTGTGCTTATCTCGTGTTTATTTATTTGTTTTATTAGCATTTATATTTCTTATTTTTATTTATTTATTTCATGTCTGTTTCAAGCGCTTATGTATACTCAGTTGAAGGCGATGTTTTACTCCCTTCTCTTTTGAATGTGATGAAATCGCTTTGCTATTCGATTTGCTCCCGCTTTAGCCAAAAATTCTCTCAGTCTTGCCTTATCTGTATTGGTTTAGTTTGAATAATGGTTCTTTGAAGTTGACATGAGAAACTTAATCCTTTAGAGGTAATGCTTGCATTATAATGACCTACTCAGTTGTTCTAGTTGGAAGATAATTCTCGTGTTGCTTTGTTGGTCCATTTTTCAAGTAAAATCTCTACACAGTAAAGATTTGGAGAGATTTTTTTGTTCATGAATGATGAACGAGAACAGGGGATTCCTTGATACCTTGCCGGTAAAGATGGTGCTAATGTGATGTATACATTCCAGAGGAGTTATACTAAAAATAATATCTAGGAGCTTTATAGGTGGTTCGCTTCAATCCTGACTTGGACGAACACTTTGTTCCTACTCTCCCTCGGAACTCATCAATAAGTAACTGACAGTTGGAGCTATTGAATGTGTAAGGAATCAAAGTGGTAAATAAGTTGTTGGCAGTTGGTAACTAACAGTTTTCAAGGTGATGTGAATTCTGTAGAAACGATAAAGGAAAGACTGGTATGAGTCAAAACTTTGCAAACTCTCAGTATCAGACCACCTTGGCACCTGGGCGATAAGCTCACGACTGCTGCTGTATACCTTGCTCCTGGTAAGCTCTCCGTTACGGTACGCAATAAATATTGTTCAAATCACTCTTCGTTCACCTCGCATTACCTTCACTATTCCAGTGAACGCGAGGTGTGCATAAAAGGGGTAATCAACACCCTCAGTCTCAGCGCCCGCAATACTCAGTACTTGGAGTGGTGTAGGGGCACTAACAGAGGATTGGGGAGTGGTTTCTGTGAGGCGGATCGCACTGAAAACCGGTTCTATCTATAACGGGCAGTCAATGGGAATCCCTTATTTGAATCTTGCGGTGGGACAAAGCAAATCACCGGAGTTCGGCGCAGTCACCATGACGTTGTCGTGAACGGTGTGGCGCAGTGCATAACATAAGCGTTCGTGGTGTAATGGTTAGCATGGATGCCTTCCAAGCATTCGACGGGGGTTCGATTCCCCCCGAACGCAGTGTTTTGCAAACTGATCAGTGATTGTGATTCGTGAAAGTAAACATCAATTTTACATTGGATTGATGAGAAATCCACGGTTCAAGGCGATCTCATGCTATTGGAAGTGGAATGGCCATTCATTGAAACGGTGCTTATTTATTGCAGTATTTGCGATTATACACCGCCATTATGCAGAGCTTAGCGTCAATACCTTCCCAATATGTCCTATAAAACTCCTCTGGGTGTAAATGCTCCCAAACTGGGGCCTACAAGCTTTTGCAAGGGACAGGGTGGAGGGTAAAAAGCTCTAACCACCGAAGCCTTGCAGACCAGCATTTTGGCTTATTTCCGGAAAAATGGTCTTCGCTGCATGATCACCCATAAGAGCGTTTTGGCAGAGATTATGAAGGAGATTCAAAATGCTAAGAATTTGAGCTACGATGACTTCAAACAGCGAAGGAGGTAGAATGAAGGGAAGAGGGGGAAGTTGCTAATGCCGAGGCTCACTTGAATAGAACTGGAATAATTCCAAATTCTCCTATATGGAGACTAGGGATACTGTAACCTTGTAGAGATTCAACGTGTAACATTTTTGGTAGTGTCCAATCTGTTTTTAACATTTGAAATGTCTAATTGTTGGTTAGGAACGAAGTCACGAGTAGTAACTCATGGGTCTTCTGTTTCGGAATCTTCTCATTCAAGAGGTTGTTACGATGAAAGCTGCAAACTAGGAGATAACGAACGTTTAAGACAGCCAGGTGTCGGCTCTCACAAAAATGCTTAGCGTGAACATCAAAAACCTTGATCTTACAGTGCTCAACTGCATTCAAATACTACTTTGCGTGGTATCGATGCAAGAAATTCTTGTGGCGTAAGAAGACAAGCTCTTCTCGCTCGTTTCAATTTTTTTTGAAGAGCTTTCTATTCAAGAGGGCATAGAGATTACAGCAAAAACATTGAGTCACCACATTACGGTAGATCGACCATGTAATTGAAGCTCCCGCCGGAAAGGGGTTGGGTGACTCAATGTTTAGATGGTCAGAATGAGATGTGAGAGAAGAAATCGAGTTGAAGCCATTGTGTAGCGAAACTACGTCATTTCATGAAAAATCGTCCAACGCGCGTCTTCTGAGAGCTTTCTGCCAATGACTTTCTATACTTTCGATGCTAATTTTGCTGTTCGTATGGTTCGAACGGTCCGGGGATCAAGTGCCGTGCCGAAACCTGCTCAGGCCATCCGGGTTTTTCATCTCTTCGGGTTCCATCAATTGGTTCCAGACTCGTTGGAAGGATAAAATGACTGACCTGCGCGAGTCATTGTACACTTGTGTAGGCCACATATACATTAACAACGTCACTATGATTCTGAATAGAAGTCTATGCGGTGCGCATACCGAAGAAGATGGTTGTTGTCAAGAGAAGGCATCGGTTGCCCTTTAAGTACTCTTCATGGATAGCTTGAACTTAACACAATAAGTTTCAGCTATGACTGGAGTAGTTCCTCGTAAAAGTCCCTCTTAACTTTTCAATTCTGAATGGCCTACATGACTACTCGGACAGGATCCTATTTGTTCTGATTCATTTTCCCGACGAGGTTTGGAAAAATATTTTGAAGCACTGTAGAATCCATTCCAAAATGAGAATAATCCTGCATTAACGAGATTAGTTTTAACCTGGGTATTTGACGCTTGAATATAATGACTTCACAGCCCCGTCGAATTATCCTTCTCGACTAAAACTCTTGAAAAAGCTCACCATTGGACTCACTTGAAAAAAACGCTCTTATTCCATACCGATTAGGTGTCGCCTATTGCACTAACCCTTCCATTTGGAACAGGACCTTTTTTGGTTTTTGAGTACCTAGAAACCTGCTTATCTGTCTGCGCTCTGAGAGCAGATCAGATTTTTCTATGGTGCTCCCTCGACACGGTCACCTGACATCACTGATAGTTTTGAACGGGCTCTTCTCACCGCAAGGTTACAAATTTTTGACTTATAATTCTTCGGTACCGATCAAAGTATTGAGGGAAGGAAGGAGGGGGAGGGATTTGAGGAAGATTAGGTAAGCTTCTGGTGAGTCTAATAAGTTTCCGAGTAGTTTCCTTCGATTAAACCCTTACGTGAATGATAAACTGCGTCTATAACACCATGTGTTCCAGCGAAAACCATGTGTTCCAGGGGAACTCTTTTCACAAACATCCAAAAGAATAGTGTGATAACCAAATAGAAATAGTACTCTGATGTTTTTTCATAGGCCCTACCAAACTGGCAATCCTCGCATTGCAGAATCACAATTGAATTGAAATTGGATTTTGCTCGTTCTTTTGCCATTCATGATAACATTTGATTTAACGATTATATTAGTCACATGCAATTGTGGGACTTTATTGCATTACATTCGCAAATCATGCCTTTTCATGAAAGTGCTTTCGCAGCCAACAGTCAACTCGCAAATTCCACTTTTTTGTTAAGGGTACTGTGTATTACCCCTTTCCCTGCTAGCAACCCTTATTCACCTTAGAGTGTTCTTGGTCAGAGTTGTATGTTCTTGATTCTAACCCCTCCCACCTGCGTGCGCTGTCTACAGTTAATCTTCCCTTCATACCCACTTTTTCCCCGTAGTCAAGCAAGCTTTTGAATTAGTTGCAAATTTTAATTTAAGCCCCGTCCATCTCGGCTCTCACCCAGCCAGCAATTAACGTTCGACTTCTGCGTAGAATTTTTTGGAAAGTATTTCGAATAGAGAGCATCGAAGGGAGCAGTTCAGGCATGCTTAGCTTATCTTGGCCCTCTCCCAATCCTACCACTTCCCTTCTGGTCCATGGGCTGCCCTGAAAACAACCTACGGGATTTCGCAGCCTATTTGTAGAGCACTAATCCCTTGTGGCTGGGTTGCATTCAGCTCATACTTCACATGATCTGATCTCCTCTGCCCATTTTTACCGTTATCTGAACTGTCCTGGAAGCAGTTTTGGGAGTTTTGTCGTTGAGACCGCTCTTTTCTGTGCCGATCCCACGTACTGTGAGGAGCTACACTTAGGTCAAGGGCGACCTATGCACTTTTACCGAATGCTGTTCCCATCCGTAACTTGATGAGGCTTGTCCAGGTGCTTGCTCGGGCAGTACCAAATTTGGTGGTACACATATACCACTTGCGTACACACACATACATACTTCCATACACTTCGTGACTTGATCGATAAGGATTTTTTGCTGTGTCACAAGGAATTCGAATAAGTGCTGAAGAAACGATCTCCAGGCGGTATTTGAAAATTGCCTGTTTCTTTTCTGATATCACTTTGAGAACTGTGGAGTTTGGGAGAGGCCGTTCAAGACAGCCGTCTGCCAAACCTTGCACAGTTCGTATAGCATGATTACAACCGTCTCCACGGAAACTTCTCTTTGCAATTGTCATATGAAGATTAGATTGCTTCGGGGGACGGACAAGTCGTGCATCCGAGGGCGCGCGCGGCAAATTGCGCGGCGAAGTTCGCACCTATTCTGACGACTTTAGCGCCTATTATTTGCGCCCAATCTTGAAGTACAATAGAATAGTAGGATCAGCTGGGATAAATGCCGCAGTCGACCAAATCGCGCAGAACTTCGCCGTGCAATTTGCCGCGCGCATCCTAGGACGCACGTAAGTTCCGTCCCTCGTTGCTTCAGGAAGGTTCGGTTTACGGTAATTGGTCACCTGTGCGAGGTCTGTGGTTGCACGGAATTGATATTGCGAAATTGGAACGTAACAGGAAAACACAATAAACGGCACGTGTTGCAGCGCATACTCCTGTCAAGGATCGTGCATTGTGAGTTTTTAAATGCTTAAAGTGCAAAAGCTCAAGTGGCTTTACCTAATTATGGTCCAGTCGGCGGTGCTAAGGGAGTTGGGGGGGGGCACGCGGCGGCGCGGCGCCTTTTCATGTCTGTGCCCTCTCCGGTGAGATAGTAGACAAGCAAGAATAGGCGAGTCCGTAATGGTGTTTAGGGACGTTTCAAAGTTCTTTTATGTTATAACTGCGTGTTTTCACCTAATTTAAGGAAGGGAAGGGGCTCCGGGGTGGGTGAGCCAATTGGACGTTCAGCTTTTATCTCATCTCAGCTTTTTGCACGAGATAACCATCTCACCCACCCCGGAGCCCCTCCCCTTCTTAAAAATAGGGTTTTATCGGCTCAGAAGAAGAGTATCCATAGTATGCAAGCATATAACATGTGTCAAGAGGTAATTTGTTTTGAATCACGAAAGACTTCAGTACAACCTCACCATCCCTTCCCAGACCCAGGCGCACTACTACTATCTCGCTACAGAGGGCGCAGACATGAAAAGGCGCCGCGCCGCCGCGTGGCCCCTCCCAACTCACTTAGCACCCAGTCGGCTCCACGTAGGCTCCGTGGTTTCGCGCTGTGGCTGCCGTGCATGGTTTTGGCCAGCTTTTGACATAGATAGCGTTGTAGCGGAAAAATGAAAATGGAAATCTGATGAGAACCTGTTCTTTCCAAAGAACTCACCTTTTTCACAATTCCGAATAGATCATATGATCGCGGAAAGAACGGGTATCTAGGCCTCATTGTATGTTTCTGTAAACTCTACAGAACTGCCTTTGCATCGTCATATTGCCATGTACGGCCCCATCATGAAAAATATTTCCTATGGGGAATATTAGTCATATGCAAATTTTTGGTTTTATTGCTTTGCCAAGTCATCACTTTTCCCCACACCTCCCTGCTCGTTTGATAATTAAGGAGAACTCAGCACTCAAATTGAATGCCCCTAGACTCTGGGGATTCTTCAAATTCAATCAGTACTTGTTTGCTCCATTTTTACCATATACTTGAGTAAATCATCGCTAGCGGCTGCTGTCTGGGAAGGAGCAGTCCGAGGCGCCGTTTTTTGTATGTTTGGGGAACACTGATTATGGATTACGGTTTAGCTGACGTGGCTAGGGCCATTTCTTACAGTGGAGCGTCTGATTTCCCACAATCAATTCTTGATTCCGTCGAAATTTCTCTCAATATATTACTGTTTCGCTTCCAGAATGTACTAAATAAGGTCATGTCGAAAGTTTTCCGAGACAGTGCCTTGGTCGTAAAGAAGAAAACCCCATCGGTTTTGTTACTGATAATTAAGAAGAAATGGGTTCTCGGGAATCTCCGATGTAATGACATTCCTCCCATTGGAGAAGTAATCATGATTGATTGGAGGTACGTGAAAGTTAAACTATTTTTGCTGGAAAAGGCATACAATATAACTTATTGTCTTGAACTTTTGCCTAGCCCTGAAGCGGTTCAATGTTCCAGGAATACTGGAGGTCCTGATACTATCGATATTTGCAGTTGGAACAGTTATAGTGATACAATGGGAGGATTTGTTGTAAGTGAATCGGCTGAAACCGGAACAAAGGTTCGTTGTGAGCGAGATCTTTTATATTCCAATGAATTGGTTTGCCCTTACTTGTCTGTCTATAATGTCGGATGGAAATAATGTTAATTTTGCGCGGGCTAATCAATACCCATTCCCACGCTTAGTACAGTTCGAAGAGTGTGCCACTGTTGGAAGTTACCAGAAACAAAATATAAGTGCTCGACAGAAGAGGCAATCGTCAAAATTTCATCATTCATCCAGAACTCAGTTCACTCTCGTGATTAGAAGAAATCTAAAAAAAAGAAACCATTTCGAAGGAAGAAAGTAAACAAGGAAGGGGTAACGGAACTTCTCCCCGATTGCGGCATTTTCCCTTGCGGCATGCGGCAAATGTCAATGCAACTACCGTACTCCCCCCGCCTCCCCGCCAGTCGATAGGGCGCGGAATTTTTCGTTAATTGCCCTTCTTTTTTTATTAGATTTGATCGTTTTTTCTATTTCTTTTTCATTTTTATGTTTATTGGACTTGATTAATTAGAATGACCCGTCTATGNAAGCGACGATCAAGACTGCATTGAAATTGAAGAGAGCGGTCAGCCAATTCAAATAATTAAAGGACTCCCTACCTCACAAATTGCGCGCTGAAATCTGCCATCGCAATCCTGCGATACGCGGCGGGTGCGGCGTGCGCGACGCCGTCTTCAGGGAGAAGTTTCGGGACCCACAAGAAGGGTGTTAATGAGACGTTGCATTCTACTTTCACATTATGGTGGTTTCAGTCAACCAGGACTTTCGTTTATAATTATGATAGATATGAACTGAAAAAAGCTTTCCTTTCATTTCAATCATATCCAGAAAAATCAAAACATATTTGCAATTTTTTTGGAAAAAATATGGTTTATTTATGGGATCGTTTTGGGCGCAGTATATAATAATTAAACGCGCTTCAACTAAGCGAACATCATTAGAAAACATATGCTGATATTTCGGAGGCGGCGATGACGTAGGTAATAGTTAAGAGAGCGATAAAAATGTAGTAAAGGCACAGTTCACGGAAATCCGGGGATATCTACACTGGTGTGCAAAACTCAGAAACGAGATGGATAATGTGACATTAAACATTAAGGGCTGGGTGGCAATAAATGAAAATGTGGGAGTATTTTGCCACACAAATAACGGTTATGTACAGGGAGCTGGACATCCCTTCGTGGATGCTTAGTTCAAACAAGACGCGAAATACGACATATGTCGCAAGTCGAGACAGTCGATAGGTGAAAAAGGAGGAGGTTTCGTTTATCTGCGAGTAGCTACAAATTACTGTGGTGGAACCTGGAGAGCGATCCGAACCTCTGGTACTGTTGCCCAAAGGAAAGAAGATAGTCGACCAAGATCAATTACACAAAGAGCTGACCTCTATATTGTGCAGCAGGCGAGAAGAGATCCATGTCAATTAGCTTCTGTGATTGCGATATCATTTAACAGGATTTCAAGGCAAGCCATCTCAAGCACTACAGTGGTACGACTACTGCACGCTGGCGGTCTCTTCGCCCGACGACCACTACTTTGTGTTCCTTTGACCATCGCAAATCGGCGAGACCGTTTGAGATGGATGCAGAAGCATAGCGAACGGAGCTATGAGAAATGGAGCCGTGTGCCTTCTCCGGATGGGAGCAGAACCAGTCTACATAGTGATTCTGGACGCACGCTCATGACCAGGGGTACTTAGAATCATTTTGAAACTTGATTGTTCGGGGGGTCGAGGTGTTATGATATGGGGAAGCATCATGCTTTGTAGCCGTACTGACCTCCAGGTTTTTGAGCGTGGAACCCTTAACAGTCGGCGTTACTGTGAAAATTAACTCCTTCTAAAATCGCGTTTTTTAAAGCTGCAGTGAGCCTTGAATCCATTTCTGCGGATGGCAATGCGCGACCGCATCGAACAGTACAGGTGAAGAATATATTGGCACAAGAGGATATCCAGCAAATGGAGTGGCCTGCCCGTTCCCCCGATCTGCATCGCATCGAGCCCGTGTAGGATGCTTTGCGTAGAGGCATTGCAGCACGTCCAAATGCACCACTGACCATCCAGCAGTTGTCAATTGTGCTGATAGAGGAGTGGAATGCCCTACCACAATAACTCATTTTCAAGCTCGTGGAAAGTGTATGATCGCGCTGCAGAGCATGCATTGCTGTCCGTGGTGATCACACACTCTATGAAGAAATGCGTTGCTTTTTTGCGGTACTAGGACAAAATGTGAAGTGTGAAGAATGTGAAAAAATCGTACCTGTTTGCCTCATTTCTATTTTCTGCCAGTTGGTTCGTGGGCAACACCGTAAAGGTCCTCACTTGGTACAGTATAAGTTTCATCAAGCTCTGCTTTCTGGCAGAGGTGCAATAATCGAATTGTGCTTTCGTCCCTAAGCTTTGCACACCAGTGTAGTATGAGACGAAGTGATAAAAAGAATCTTACTATTTGTAAAGCGTTCTGTCTGTCTGTCTGTCTGTCTGTCTGTCTGTCTGTCTGTCTGTTTGTTTGTTTGTTTGTTTGTTTGTTTGTTCGAATTCGATATAACCTGATGAAACAACTGGAGAAGTCGGGTCAAGTTTGGAATGTGTTGAGCGTAGGGTAAGTGCAACAGAGCACATGTGAACCTAGCAGAGCTCCGCCCCAACGGGCGGGGCATGCGCCGGAATTGGGCGGGGTCATGGGCAAATACTTCTCATTCGTTCTCGTAACAGTCCAGACAAAGGGAAAATGTGCGAAGGTTAGGGATGGGTCAACAATTAAAATAAAGGTCACAGTGGGCGGCACTTTCCGCAGAAATTCATAACTCGATTCAACGAAGGCATCGAGGCCAGGAAAAAAAGTGAGCAAGGCCTTATGCGTGCTGGGCATGCGTAGGCTTAGCGGAGTCCAACGGTGGGCGGAGCGTTGAGGTGAGAGTCAAGTTTTTATAGTGGAAAGGGTCTGCATTGATGTTGACGGGACTATGATCAACCACTAATAATTCTGCTCAAATGAAATATATCGAGCGTGATACTCTCAGCAGTTCAGCGTTCGAAGCTAGAGATAACTTTCTCTCATTCTGATAATCCAACATTCCGTTGAATGACTCCATGGTGGACAAGCGGTCGTCACATTTAATGTGTGCGTCAGCGTGTGTAGCCCAACTGGTAAAGAATGAAGCCTTTGGCGTAATCAATCCCGTCTGGGGGATGCGCCCCCGCACTCGACTTCCATTCAGAATCGTAGTGGCGTAATGAGTGCGTATGTGACTTATACGATGGTTTGCGGTGTTCAGGCAAAGTAAAAGTCAGTGCTTTTATACTTTCAGACAAGTCTGGTACCAATTAAACGACCCTGGAGGGATAGTAGGCCTGGTTGGCCTAGGCAGATATTGATTTGGGATTCGAACCCTTGATCGTGCATGGGAGATAGTGCGCCACTTGCCACTACACCACCTCCGCCACCTTGAGACGAAGTGATAGTCCAGAGTAATGCAAAAGTGGCGAAGAAACGCGGAAAAGAAAAAAGAAAAGTAAAACTTGGGGTTAGACGAGAACTTGGCGACAAAATCTGCATAGAGGGATTGTGGACGAGATGTCTAAATGTGTGTGCCTTTCGTACACTCGGCAACAGTTGGTTGCCTCTGTGCAACGTGTGAGCTGTCCAAATCGAAGAGCCACTTATGAAAGTGGCTGCAGTGAGCTGCCTAGCATGTGCGTCCTTGTACAAATGGTGCAACCTCTACAACCTCTGCAACGCCGTCAGAACTCGTCCCTTTGGACGTGAACGTCGTCTAAGCTGGTTTTGGAGCCCATATCACGCCACATCTAGACCGTTTTTCGATCCGACAACGTCCATCAAGCTCCTTGGGGTCACGGGTTCATCGCAAGAAGCTTTTTAACGTGAATTGCGCCTTTAACGAGGCCCTCCATCCGACCGTCGGGACAACTCTAAGCATCATCGGCCCGATAATCCGCCGGTCCAGTTTTGATAAGAATAGGTGTGCACCAAATACTGTTATTCGAAGCTAGATGGTCTTCGATTACATCTATCATATGCTCTTTTTTTTCATAGTCAAAAGCTGTTTCGGAGTTTCACATACATCACTAGCTTAGTTATCTGTCTCAAACTTAGTTTATTGGTTACACATTTTGATAGCGTAAATTCATCTTTCGATTTCAGTTCACTGGAATGTTTTATACCATGGGCAGGATTATATACAGTGGAGTTGCGCTAGAAAACCCAGCAGTTTTCAACAATGTCATCGGAGTAGTTCAGGATACGGCGAATGTGTTAAACAAGGACTACATTGGTTAGTTGAATGCGCATAACGAGCTGGTTAACCCTTGGACAACACATCACACTTGTGGAATGAGATCAACTACGAAGAAAAACCACATTTTCCCAGATTTGCTTCTCACCTTCTGCTTCTGACAAGGTCTCATTAATCTTACTATCGTAAATGTCTCCCGAATGGAAAAACACTTCTATCGCATGCCTCAGTCATAATGGAACCACGTCATAACCATTTTAAGCGAACACCGCCCATTCCAATAGCGAACGACTTACCACGGCTTTCAAGCTTTTGTACATCCTTCTCGATTTCTTTTCGTGACCAAGCTTCATAGAGGCCAAATCATTCCTCTCCTCACTTCACTGCCTTGACGCACTGAAAAAAGTTCCCTCTCTTGTCGAATTTGTTGTAGTAAAGTGCACCAGAGGGTGAATGGTCGCACTCTGAAAACTGAAATCTATGTTATTGTCCAACCGGGGCTTCATTCAAAGTGATAATGCCGATTCATTGCATGATTCCCGTTGACAAGTGTCTTTTCAGGAAAACTTAGAGCTACTGTTTCGTTTGATGAGCATTGTGATGGTTGTCATTGGGCTATCATCAGTGTGGACGAGTACCTAAAAAAGGGAGATAGCGAGGTGGGAAGCATTTTTTCAACTGGTCCTATTATGTTTCTGTGGTCGGTGATTCAATAAATTGAGAGATAGGTTACTGTCAAATTCTAGCTCATTTGGAGCCACTTTGATGATGATCAAAATTGAGTAACGTTGTCCTAGCAGGGCATACTATTCTTATTCTTCCTTTAAAATCAGGCTGCTGCCGTGACAATACAGTCGCAGTTCTGTGGTTGAACTTGCTGAACGGACTGTTGAAAGGTTACTGTGGTTATGACACCGATCCAATCTGACTCGCTTTCTATCGCTTCCCTCCCCTTCGCTTCCTTTTGCGAAAGGACAACTTCGATATCTTATGAGCTTCTGGAAATTCCTCCGGTTGCTGGCTGTAACAGCTCCGCATTTCGGCTACAGCGATGGTGACTATTCTTTGCAGCTGGCTGTCACGCCCATGTTTAATCGATGCCTATAAAAACGAGAGCGGCCGTTTGGAAAAGTGCGAAACCGTTACGACGGAGGCTGTGCCTACGTAGTCAGTCTTGTTTTGCCAATGCTGTTCAGATGGTAGTAATATAGGCAGCTTTGGTGGCTGTTCACCCCTCCTCTTCACCCTCTGCTGCCTTGCTGTTTGTCGTTTTTGTATCCGGAAAATGTATGGTAGGAAACCACTTTTCTGTGCTTATGAACCTATTTTTTTTTGCGACCGGGCAAAAGGTTGCTTTTTTTCAAAGACAATATGGAAAAAATCTGTCGTAAAAAGTCAGATTTTCCAATTTTTAGGTCTTGCATACCTCTTTCGCGAACCCTTAACTTGACTTCTTTCTGCATTTTCAGATTCCTGATCCAAAACGGCCCTTTAAAGGGGTTGTTGGTGCAATAAACCGCGGACCATCCAGAGCGGTGAACTTCATAACATCACGCTATTTCCCTCATGATGTGCGCTTTTTCACGTGGAAAAATGTGTAGGTTATCCTCATTTTCAAATGTTTTTCATTTCCTAGGCTGCTTGATTGGCGTCACTTAAACAAAGATGGTTGTCTATCTTTCTCTTGACGAGAATCATAGGCAATTCTGTCTTAGAGAAGGCACAATCACTGACGCCACAAACATTCTCCTGAAATAGTAATTCTCACAAAGTCAAATCCGAAGGGAATCATCGCCGAGTTTGTTTTTACACTCTACAATCAATGTTTTGCGCATTTTGGCTATCGCAGGAGCAAAATGTAAGTAACTTTTGCAAAAGGATGGAAACTAAGGAATGTTGCCAACTTTTCATCTTTCACTGCTTTTTCTTCTTCCTTTTCACAGGGGTACTTCCACCGCTGCTGGTGCCATAGCCTAGGTAATTTAGACTGTATCCCCTCACCAAGCATCATGGGCTCTGAGTGGTGNAGCCAAGGATTGAAGAAGTTACTCGGGTCCTAAAAACTGGCCTCTTTCCAATTCTAGCTACAATTCCTTTACCCTTATTATTTACAGCCTAACGTGATTCCTATTGAAATTGAATGGAAAAGGGATATCGATCAGCGCGAGCGGTGAGGAGTGGGGAGAGGGTAATAGATTCATAGGTAGAATAATAGTATCATAAATTTAATGAGCAATAGGTAGATAAGATCCTTTCTCTCTGAACGTCCCTTTCTTCATCTTCCTTCCCGGCTGATGAGTCCTACTTATGGTTCTCCAATCAACCTTCTGATTTGGGAGTTCGTTCTGTTGGAACCATCTCAGAGAGGGTCTAAAAAATACTCTAGTTATGATTCTTACGCCGTCGCTTTGTTTTTTGGAGTCTCCGTTTTTTTTTTGCTTATAACTAACTTCTAGAGATCCGAAACTCCTCTACAGTCTACTAGGCCGCGAAGTAAGTTTTGCGGCCTCCAAGGATCCAAGGAACAGAGAGTGGTCATGTGTTACGGGCACAGTCGAGCCCACCAAAGCAGATAACTTCAACATTTCCCGTGAGGGCGACTTCTTCAAAGTGGGAACTGCATTTACGAGTTATGTTCATTCGTTAACCACAATGATTTATTTCAGATCGAGATAGCTGTCGAATATATTGGTTGTACGGATGAACATGGATGTATTCTTGTGTGGAGTGATCTGGTGGAATTTGTGGTCGACAAAAACAGGCTGTTTAAAGATCGTGGTTCGTTCGCAGAAATCGAGCTCCCGTTTCCTGTATAAATTGGAGTACAAGAAATGCTGCACAGTCCACTGATGGTTCATGTTTAGGAGAATCCGTAGAAGAACTTACTGTGGGCCGGATAAATCGGAGAACGGTAAAGTAGGTAAAGCCAGAATTTGAAGTACCGGGATACTCAAAGCAAATCTGGCACTTATAGAGAGAGGGATTCTGAGAATGAACGATTCTGTCAGGAACGCGTCCGGAGTGTAGCAGTCATGATTCTTCGAATGATTACACCCCGTTTGAGGCCTGTAATAATGCAAGTAGACTGTTTGATTTCTTGAGGTCGGTGAAGTAGAATATTAGTTTGAGGGAGAGTGGGAACATCGCCCAGCAGGGAACAACGGTCAAATGGGAAGCGGACAGTCTGCAAAATTTGGTCGGAGCAAATGGCAATTATGTTTCAGGAGAGAGTATTTAATACAAAGATATGATATGGGCTAAGGATTTGAATTTTAGAATACGGCATCTATCATGTTTATGCTGCCCGACATTATCACAAGCTGCAGTTTGCTAAGTGGAATGTTAAGTACGTAGGCCGGCTCATAAAGCCAATCGGTGGGCATATAAGCCGGTTCGAAGTGAGTTTGTAATATGATTGGCTAGAAGTATCTCTTCTTCAGCAATGATTCTTTGAAAGTAAGCCTGGCCTACCCTCTGCTTTCATGGTTCTTATGTCTCACTATGAATAAATGGCTCCACCATCTCCTTTACCGTTCGACATCGTTCATTATGAGCTCATTTGATAGATCTTTGATGTGATTATCAATTAGACTTTCATTATTTCGAAAATTCCGAGTAGCTAAAGGGTTCCAATGGATAAGTTGGCGTGAGGCGGTTGAACATATTGTCACTGTATGTACCCACGTTCTCACGCCCTCACCTCCTGGAACTTTTTGTACGCGACAGTTTTTCTTCCGATGAAATTCAAATTTCATTATGCCACCACCTCTTTGAGTATCGTCGGTAGCGCGCTCGGTTCATGTTACATATGAAATTACTGAGAAGCGGTTTTCTTCGGTAAAAATCGGAATGGTTAATCTTTTCTTGGAATGCCTCTCTTTTTTCTGCTTGAGTGTAGCGTTAGGTCCAAGCGGCTCCCCAGTAACTTGCGCGGCGCGGTCACATGGACTCATGTTCCGCGGCAGTAGCCTGTTTTCATGCGCGGAATATTCGCACCGCGTCCGACCGGACCTTACATCACCTCTGTAGCCTATTGTTCAATCGGATGCGGCATTTTCAAAGATCAAAATTAGAAAAATTGTCTACAATTAAGACTGCGGTTCCTACAAAGAATTCTCGCCGGAGGTGGTAGAATGTTTCAGCTTCTCGCGAATTTTCGATCAAAAGTTGTTTTTTTGACGAAAGAGTGAGCTGTTTGCTCCGAGTGATAAAACACAAGGAAGATGGTTGTTTCAGTGTAAGAATGGAAATTTAATTATAGCAGTCACGTCCGATAAAAAAACTTCTTCAGTGTATATCTACGGCTCTATCGAAGCAGTCTACAAAGCATTCGGAGGGAAGCTATAATCGAATTCGTAACCGCTCCGTTGAATACGGTTGGTTATTGAAACGGTAAAAATTAAATTTTATTCCGATTAAAAGTAGGAGTTCAAGGAATATGTCTACGCATGCTTACTGAATAAATAAACACCCGGTTTAGAAGGTATTAGGTTGTTCTGAAAGAAATGCGCGTTGAATTTGTCCATTTACTTCTTTCCTGCTTAAGAGGATTCCAAAATAATGTCAATTAGAAAAAGCCTTTTATTGTGCATCTTCTGATATATTTCTTTCTATGTCTACTTTGATTTTTTTTNTTTTTTTTGACGACAAAAGTGTAGGAAAGATTTGAACAAAATTTCGAATGCGAGCTTGCATGTTCTACGACTTTAGGCAAGTCAAAACGGCTGTTGAATCTCATCGTGCCATATCTGGGGTATGGGTAGTGGTGGTTAGACGTAAGACAATGGTTAGACGTCTATGACACTCCAAAATCTTCTCAGAAACCGAATATACACGGCAAAAGGTGATGCTCCATGTTTGGTGGAACAGCAAAGCTTTGATAGCTTTGGTGTACTTTGGAGTTCTGGATTCGGATCAAACAGTTACGGCGGACATCTATGCAATGATCAGTTGACCCGGGTGGATCAAGCACTGCGTTGTGTAGATGTCGAAACGACGTCGACGAAATTCCTCCACGACGAGCTCGTCCAAATGTCGCGAAAATGACTTTGGAAAATAATGAGGATTAGGGTTGAGAAGCTCTGCCTCATCCGCCGTACAGCCTAGACGTGGCACCATACTATTACCATCTGTTCCTGTCGATGCAGCACTCCCTGGCCGAGTGAAAGTTCAAAAACCGCGAAGAAGCCCAACTTTGGGTGCCCAACTACTTTGAGTTGTAGCCGACCGAGTTCTTCGGAAAAAGAATCCACTTTTTGCGTAAACGTTGGCAACAAATCAATGGTAGTAGTGGAGGTTATCTTTTGCACCAATCTTGTTTAATTTCTTTTTCATAATAAAAAATTTTTAAACTCACGCGCATCCCTTTCCGGACAACTTAATGTTAACTCATGATTATAAATTGATCACAAGTAGTTTATAATAAGTTGAACTTTCATAATGATCAGCTCGTTTCTTTCGACGGGGCATGAAAATCGGAGAATAAGCTACAGTTATGAGTCGACTGCAAATTCTTCTTTAATTTTGATCACTAATGAATTCTGTAAAAGTCAAAATAAATCTGGAGTAGGGGTGTATTCCATAGCACACAGTTAACATAGGCACCAGTGAACAAGGCTGTGACGATGACGAGGCTGAGAAGATAGTCAATAATAGTTTTTTTATTATGTTGATTATTTTTTAGTTCAAATGAAGTGCTGAGCACGCTTTTGAAATTGTTCCAGGAGCTGATGAAAAACCCGATAAGTTTCCCAGGAGTCGCAGTAAACATGATTCCGGTGTGCGAAATGTAATAGGGGTGAGTTACTTCACTTGTTATGGTATAACTTCTTTTTCAGGTATGCGGAAGGCTTCGGGCTCGGGTGAGGAATGTCCAAATGCAACTTTTTTGTGTGATTCTCAAATAGCGCAAGTTGTAGATCTGGATTTGCTTGAATCGTCGCTAGTTACCGGTACAGCTTCCCGAACTGCACAAAAAACCCCATTGCTGAGTTTTTTTAGTAGGGATCGAAAGTTTGTCGCCATTAAGGGCCACTTACGTTAGATCACTCTGAAGAATCATGCAAATGAATTTCAATGGGAATCCAAAATGGCGCGTAATAGGCGAAACATTTGCCACGGAGATTTGTCTGTTCCCCGAAATGGGAAGAACAACCTGAGCTTCTGTAATTTAGACTTTCACGGGTTGGCTCGCCTAATCCATTATGTCGTGAACTATGTTGTGTGTTGGCGTACATAATTTGCTTGGATGGCATCGGGGTCGATATTTCTGGCAGTGATAGTGACCAGAATCAAAGACCTGAGATGGTCAGCTGTCCTTTTTTTCTGACCGGTTGCCGAATCATTCTGGAGCTCACGACTCTTTCCTCTCTAAAGTCCGCTTGTTCGAGACGCTCTTTATTTGACTCGGACCCCCCCCCCCCCAATCTAGTGACTTCTAAAAGTTATTGTATTGTATGTCCCATTTTTCAAGATACTTTCGAAAAAAAAGCTTTTTTTGCTGTCTTTCATTCTTTGCTCCACATTGTTGGCCCTCCACTTTGGGCGCTTTCATCCCTCTGATCACTCTGATCTACACTTGAGTTATTCAAATTTCTTCCTAGCACTCAGACCAACCAAGAGATATGAATTTCTGCGGTCTGCTTCTCAAAATCAAAGGCACACTTCTTCAACTGTAGGAGCTAGTTTTTCTCCCCTGTTTTTAGCAGTCATAGAATCGATCTAATGTTTTGTGGGCAGCACCGCCCATCTGGAATACTATCCGCCCATCCCCTTCATCTTGCGATTCATCGTTTTCCCCTATCCATTTTCCGCTGTGAGCAGTGTTAGCGCTAGTGTGGATGATACGATCTGCATATAACCCTGTATTTATCATGGTTGGAATTTCTCAGAGCAAATTATACAATAGAACTGTTGATTAGCCGACCATGAAGCTTAGGCAGACAAGGTTTTTATATTCTAGAGGTCCTTCTTAATGAAAGTTGTCTCAAAAAGGGCGTTTTCCAGGATAAAGGTTGTTCCGAAAGTCATGCAGCTGCGTCTGGGAAGTATTCAAAGGAAGTGAAATCTTCTGCGAAAGAAAATGTAGAGGCGGAGGTATGCTAGTGTCAGCTCTACATATAAATTCCTTCAAAAGTGCAACTTGCTCCACGCCTAAATGGTACCTTTTTCTCAGAGTTTAGCATGATGCTTGATCGATTCATGCTATCATATCAACAAAAGAATAAACTGATTGAATCAGGACGATGCATTCCAATTAATTGGGCACATTAATTCAGAACGGTCGTACATCTGCGTCATCTTTGTGGAACCGTGATGAGAAGTCCACTACAAAGGAAGATGTGGAGGTGAAAAAGTTTTTCAAGATTCCGCTGAATTGAATGCCTCAAAAGTATTTTTTCAGAAAACATTACGCACGTGTTTTCATAGATGTTTGGAGTCGGTCAAAGTTCGAGCAGCCATAAAACAAGCAGATCCAAAATTTTTCAACTCACTTGTGGCTACATTAATGAGAGTTGAGTAGCCAGCCACACCTATGTTCTGCTGTAGCGATGTCGCGCGAGTGTTAGTTGTCGAAATCTAAGTGGCCGTCTTTGTGAAATTCCAAAGAAGACATGCTGGTTGAGAAGGTGCATAATAATTACGTTACCAGCAGTTTTCATAGCAAGGTTGTTATGGTTTCCGAGCAGGATTGCAGTATCATTAGTACACGTTTTTGGGCTGTATGATGACTTGCGGAGGCCAGCCGATGTAGCAGTCTTTCCATGTAGGCGTTTACTGGGAGAGGCATTGGATGAGCCCATATAAACTATTTTTTTACACACTATATTTTTTTACATGTGTCTGTTTTCCTTCCAGTCAGAAGTCGTGAAAGACAACACTTTTTTTAAAACTGCTATGTGCTCATGTCCATTCGCACAACTTCTATCCGATTGTGCCGCTCCCGGTGGCTTACGTAGATCCCAGTGCAAGAGTTGACTCATTTTTGTTGCTAAATCTACTTGGTCAAATAAGTAGCTTCACGATGAGTTGAGGGATGATAAGCTTATACTGGTTACTCTGCCCCAATCTTCGCTATCACTTACCTACGTGCATTGGATCATCTACTATACTTGGGAATCTGTAAGGAGGTTCATTGTGGTTGTTGTGTACGAGGCTGTACGGTGGGTCAGCAATCTGGGTTTTTCTTTTTCAATTCGAAATATTCTTGGAACCTGGAAGTCTCATACCGTTTTATTCTCAGCTTTGGATTCGCAACATAAAAAAACCCCGCCAAGGGTGCCCGGTTGGTGGCTCTAGTGGGGTGGTCAAAAAATAAAGGCTTTACTATTAGATTATGCCAGTTGTTTCTGTTCCCTTTTCACCGTTGTTTAGAAACTGTTGTTTTTTTGCTCTTTGTTTCCTCAATGAATTGTTTATGTTAATGTTTTATCTCTATTGTCAGTAGCGTATTTCCACCCGATTACTATGTCATGAAGTTGTTCCATTAACCAACTTTTTTTTGAAGTCCCGTTGGAAACGAAACGTTGGCCCTGTCTTGTCTGCTTGCATTTGTTTGATTGATGATGAAGATTCTTCAGGGCAAATAATTGTGTTGGTATTGCTATTTGTTTTCCTGTTTCACAAATTACAAATTCGAACCTCTATAAGGTGAATGATCGCACGAGTGTTAGTGCTAAAGCTGATTACTAGAGAAATGGGAAGAATAGCTTGCTCATCGACAAAGAGAAGTTGAGGGGGAGTCGTTAGGTACTACCGGACTTCAACTCTTCACTGTGAATTAGGGATTACGCGTTCAATCTGACTTAAAAGCACAGTTCACGATAATTTTTGATTATCCAGATTATAACGAAAATGAAAGAGAAGGTGGAGAATAGTGCGATGGAGGCAAAGAAAGCACGCGAATGTTTCCAAAGTGACAAGGTTTCGAAAGAGTCTTCAAAAAAAAAAGGGCTCTGAACGAGAATAATAATAACAGAAGGATGAAGTTTAGGGGTGTTTGCACGAGGGGTATGTGTACGGACGTGCGCCCGAAGATGCGCGCGGCGAAGTTCGTAATGGTTTGAACGAGTTCGGATTGTGGCTCAAATTTCAAACAGAGTGGATTAGGAGGATCATCCGACCCTACTATACTACACTACTTCGAGTTTGTGCCCCGAAAATTGGCGCCGCAGTAAGACATTACCCCACCACCTGGACATTAGCTGGGTGCAAGCTGAACGCATGGTTCCTGGTGCGAATGGCGCAACCTGTATCGCCTTGACACTTCTGACACAGCGGTCGCTAGACATGGACGCAGACGAATCCGATGGGGCTCAAATCGTGCCTTATCTATTGAGTTTTCGTTCCCGAGTCTCAACGTTCCTGTCTCCCTCTGGGCCACTGGGTAGTCCTAGGAGGAACAAGCAACCATTCTTATCGAGCCTCAAGCCAACTCTAAGGAATGGCAGGAATTTCTATGAAAAGATTAACTTCCATAGAGAATTCAGGCAGAACAGGAGCAGAAGCTGAGGGTTACATATTGCATTACACGAAAAGAATGAGCTCTATTTGACTTTGATAAAACTCTTAATCGCTCTGGAGGAACGGGGCTAGTCAATTTCTGGAAGTGAAGAGAGATCTGTTTGAAGATTTTCCTTAAATTTACTCTGTGGGGTGACGAGGACTCGTAAATCTTGATCTAAAAGTAGAAGCCATGTATTCGTAAGGTGCTCAAAAATTGCTGAAATGAGTGAATGGCGAACGTTTTTGAGAAGATTTTGAAACGTCAAGAGGACATAAAAGTCGTTTGGAGAGGGATTGGTAGCTCCTTTCCGTTAAGCAGGGCATTCTGTAGAATGTTGTAGTTCAAGAAGAAATTTAATGCTGAATACCTCTAAGGACGCGCCACGTTTTCAATTCCTGCCTGTAATTGTGAAAGCCTTCAGGTCCAAGCGCCATGATTCAGCTGGCCATGTACATCTGGGAAAGTAAATTTGTGGGTCTAAAACAATGAATTTGCAGATCACATCGTAGATCACAAATGCCTAAGGAAATGACCACGTGGCACCGTTTGCCACAGGGCTCCTATTATTGATCCGAGTTCGTTCTTGGCGTGAATCATTTCAGGCTTCTTCCAACTCTTTTTTCTTTTTACTTTTTCACTTTCTCAATGGAAATGATTTTGGTAACTAGTAAGTATAGCGATGGTTTTTTTCATATTTGTTGTGTTTATTGTTTGTTTCGAGAAAAATGATCAAAAATCCTCTCTTCCTTCATTCTGTTGCTTACGACTATGTGGTTGCAGCAAAGAAAAGGGTCTTCGATGGTACCAGAAAAAGCGCTTTTTGCAGCAGATCCCATTCCCTCCATACGACCAGTTGGCATCAATGAAAATCTTGAGCAGACCCTTTCTCATTGCACGACTTCGAGATTACGGCCTTTGATTCTTCGGACTGTTCATAGTCGGAGGGGAAAGGTGTACTAGAGAGGCTTTTGGTGAGCCTAATCAGTTGTCATGTAGTTCCCTCTGACTGGTCCCTTTAGGTGGTTGATGAATAACTTTATTTAAACATGCTTCCCGGCGGACCCTATAAAACTGGGAATCCTCACACTGCAGGAATCACTTCTGAATTTTGTTCATTTTTTCCGTTCACGATTACATTGATTCAACGATTATATTACTTACATGCAAGTGTGGGATTATACTGCATTAAATTCGCAAAGCATGGCCTTTCAGTGAAAGTGCTTTCGCAGCCAACAGTGCCCCGTCCACAATGAAATTCCCTTTCATATACACTTTTTTCCGTTGCCTCCAGGCAAGTGAAGAGGGGAAGCGAACGCTGCTTGGGGGCCAAGCCGGTGTTACGGTAGACGATACGATAAGTGACCTCCGTGGCCTACACCTTCTTTAGGCGGTAGACCCCCAGCTTGGGCGGGAGTCCCTCTGTGTCAGTACCAGTAATTTCCCCCTCTCTTTCTTTTTTTTGAGTGCTTGCTTTTTTTCTTTGTTTAGTAAACTTCTCTTCATCTCGCCCACTTTCCCACCCTCCAAGGAACCGTTTGAATTAGCGCTCTCTCTCCCTTAAGTCGGAAATTGCTAGTGGTTTCCGGCTTAAACCCTGCCCGGTCCGCTCGTTGATTCCGGCAGTGAAGAGGGAAAGCGAACGCTACTGCTGCGTCTGAGTTCCCGCAATCAATTCTCGATTCCATCGAAATTTCTTCCAATATATTACTGCTTCGCTTTTAGAATGTACTAAATAAGGCCATGCCAAAAGTTTTCCGAGACAGTGCCTTGGTCGTTAAGAAGGAAACCCTAACGGTTTTGTTATTGATAATTAAGAAGAAATGGGTGCTGGGGAATTTCCGATGTAGCTTCATTCCTTCCGTTGGAGAAGTAATCATGATTGATTGGAGGTACGTTAAGGTTAAACTATTTTAACTGAAAAAGGCATACAATACAATTTAGTGTCTTTAACTTCTGCATAGCCTTGAAGGGGTTCAATGTTACAGGAGTACAGAAAGTCGTGATACTATCGATATTCGCAGTTGGAAAATTTATAGTGAAGTTATGGGAGGATTTGTTGTAAGTGAAACAACTGAAGCTGGAGCTAAGGTTTGTTGTGAGCGAGATCGCTTACTAATGATGCCCATTGGTTAGCGCCTGTTAGCGCGCCTACTTTTGGATGCGCATTGATTTTGCGCGGACCAATCAATAGCCGTTTCCACGCTAAGTATAGTCCGAAGAGTATGCGCTGCTTTAAATTATCAAAAACAAAATATAAATGCTTGACCAAGGAGGGAATCGTCAAAACTCCATCATCCATCCAAAACCCAGTTCACTCACATAGGTAGAAAAAAAATCTGAGAAAGGAAAACAATTCGAAAGAAGAAAAAGAACAAGCAGGGTGTTAAGAAGACGTTACATTCTACTCTCGCATTGCTGCTGTTGCCTTTACAGTTAAATAGAATTTTCCGAAAACAATTCTAGGTATTTCGGAGACGGAGATGATGTAGGTAATAGTAAAGGGTTTTGGGGTAGCTAGTTTCAGAGGAATAAGCGGAAGCGATAGAGCGATATTTTAGATGGTGCAAAAATGGCGATGAAACGCGAATGGCGTATTTAGAGAAATGTAAAGTTTCGAAAGAAGTAAGATTAGGTGTTTGGCCCGAAGAGGCAGGGATAGCCGGGTGGATAAGAGTGTAGGCTCGCGTCTGCACATAGAAAGAGTGCGAGTTCGATCTCTGCCGAGGCATATCCATATCTTGCAAATCTTGCAAAAATGGAATCGCTACCAGCATCAGGCCCAGGTTGACAGGCCGGCTGATGGAGAAACTAGTCACAACAAATATGCCCAAAGTCTCAAAAGGAATCAAAGATAAAGCTAGGACGTCACGCGGAAGTGGCGCTCAGGACCCTCGCCCGAGTCCTGAGCGCCACTGAAGGCCTCTTCGAGGGCTACCGAGTAGTGAACGACCTCGTCCAAATAAGCTAGTTCGAATTGGGACTCTGAACGTGGGATCACTTACTGGGATGTCCCGAGAGGTCGCTGATCTGATGAAGCGCAGCAACATCCAAGTCCTATGCCTTCAGGAGACCCGCTGGAAAGGATCAAAGGTCAGGGAAATCGGAGAGGGTGTCAAGCTCTTCTACAACGGAGAGGACATCAAACGAAATGGCGTGGCTATAGCTGTGGCGGACTCCCTTAAAGACTCCGTCTCCGCCGTCAACAGGAACAGCGGTCGAATCATGGCAATCATGTGAGGATAGACACAAATAACACCCGTGTTCGGCTGCCCCGTCGTCGAAAAGGATGAGTTTTATTTGAGCCTTGACGAGGCCATCCGGTCAGTCCCGGAGGGGGACTACCTCAGTAGCGGGGGATCTTAACGGCCACGCTGGAAGTGAACGAAGGAGCTATGAGTGGATTTACGGTGGCAAGGCAATATGTGTCAGGAACGAAGAAGGAGAAAGAATTCTCGATCTGGCCACAACCCACTGTTTGGCAGTATTCAGCACCTTCTTCGCGAAAAGGAAAGCCCAGAAGATAACCTACAGCAGTGGAGGGAAAGAAACAGAAATAGACTACGTACTCGTAAGAGGGTCATCCCTCTAAACTGTGAAGGGCATGAAAGTACTAGCTGGCGAAGACCTGGCTCCACAGCACAGGCCTCTCCTAGCAGACATAGCCATCGATGTTCCCAAAAAATCAAGGACAAGTTCGGAACGGAGGATCCGATGGTGGAAGCTGAACGGAGTCGGAAGAGAGCACCTCATAGAGAACATACTGGAATCTGGACTTCCAGATCCCGAAGGACCGATCCAGCAAACCTGGAGCAACGCCGTGAAGGTCATTCTAAGATGTGCCAGGGAAACGCTGGGAGAAATTCGGGGTGGATTCCGATCAAACAAGGAAGTCTGGTTCTAGAACGATGAAATCCAGCGAATTGTGAGGTAGAAGAAATTGACCTAGAAGCGCTGGCAGAAGACACGAGCTTCAGAAGACCTAGCTGCCTACAGGACGTTCAAGAGGGTCGCCAAGGCTGTTGTAGCGAAGGCAAGAGTACGGAAATGGACGCCTTGTGTGAGAGATTCGAGGGACGAGAAAAGAGAAGGTCGTCGTCCGCTGGCGGAAGCGCGTCATCGGGCTACTCAAGACATCGGAGTAGTGAAGTCTGTTCGGAACAGCGAGAATGCCATCCTATGGAAGCGTGGTGAGGTCAGGCGTAGGCGGAAAGAATACATTGATAGGCTCCTAAACGAAGAATTCGCCCTCAATTAGAGGCAACGGCTGGCCCCATCGAATTCTGGACAGCGGATGAGGTGCGTAGAGCAATGGGAAAGATGGAAGTTGGAAAGACAACTCGTCCGAATTGGGTACCAATCGAGGCATGAAAGACGCTTGGAGAGCACGGCATGGGGTGGCTCATCCGATCCCTGAACACAGTGACCACTAAAGGGATCCTAGAAGCGTGGAGGAGCAGTACTATCGTTTCCATCTACAAGCAGAAGAGGGACGCAATGGAGTCTTCCAGCTATCGGGGGATCAAGTTGATCGCTCATACAATAAAACTGTGCGAGCGGCTAGTCGACGCAAGATTGAGAGAATTAGTCCCGATCTCACAGGTGCAGTTCGGGTTCATGCCTGAAAGGTCTACAACGGATGCCATATTCTTGGCCAGACAAGTTGTGGAGAAGTATAGAGAAAGCCTAGACCCTGCTACCTAACCTTCCTCGATCTGGAGAAGGCATTCGACCGTCTCCCGCACAAGTCCTCTAGAGGACGCTCCGGAAACGAAACGCTACAGAGCACATGATCTTTTTCAAGGACATGTACGATGGTTCCACGACAACTATACTCACTCCACACGGCCAAACCGGAGAAATAGATGTTACCGTTGGGGTCCAACAGGGATCAACACTGAGCCCGTTCCTCTTCCTGCTTACGATAGATGTCATCACAGAAGAACTCATGGATGGACCACTGAAGACCATCCTCTACGCTGATGACATCGCTCTGATAGCGGAGAGCAAGGATGAACTCCAGGATAAACTCCAGAATTGGAAGAGGGTATTGGCGGAGAGTGGACTCCGGCTGAACGTGGGGAAGACCGAGTTTTTCTGCTCTGAGGAGGGCACGAAGTCAATCATCGACTGTCGCGGGGAAGTCATCGAAAAGGTCCAGGACTTCCGATACCTGAGGAGTGATCTAGCCGCGATGGTAGCGTAGACCAGGCTGTGAAAGCCCGAATGAACGCGGCATGGATGGAGTGTAGGGAGTTCTCCGGCATCCTGTGCGACCGTCGGTGCTTCACGACTCTCAAAGGAAAGGTGTATCTGGCAGCGGTAAGGTCCACGATGCTCTACGGCAGCGAGTGTTGGTCATTGGGTAGGAACCATAAAAAATAGCTCCACTTCGCGGAAATGAGAGTGCTCAGGTGCCTGCGATGGTTCGACCATGTGCTGAGAAGACCACAGAATCTTCCGTTAAGGGTGGCAATGGAGTTCGAAGCTCAGGATAAGCGACCACGAGGAGCCCCAAAGAAGAGGACGTGATCAAGAAGGACCTCGCCGAAGCTAAAATAACGTCTGAAGATGCCGTGGATCGACAGAAATGGAGATGGTTGACAAGAACAGCGGACCCTGCGACGGCGCGGGGTTAACGCTAGGGAGAAGAAGAAGGGGTTGGACCCGAAGGGGGCCACAAAAGTTGCATGGAAGGGTCATTTGGACGTGCTTTCTAATTGAGTGTGCCATTGCTACAGCTGGCTACGGTTAGCTGCTTGCGCGCAACGTATGCGTCCCGATGCGAATGGTGCAACCTCTACAGCATCTGCTACGATGTTGGCATTCGAAGCTAGCTTGTCTGAGATTACATTTAGCAATATGCTTTTTTTTCTAGCCAAGGGCAGTTCTGGAGACTTATACACTTGACTCCTGCCCATGTAAGCTAGCTTGTCCGCCTCAAACTAGCTCTAGTCTTTCGTTTTTATGGTTAAACTTTATTTTTCAATTTCAGCTCACTGGAATGTTTTATACCATGGGCAGGATTACATATGGTGGAGTAGCACTAGAAAATCCAGCAGTTTTCAACAATGTCATAGGAGTAGTTCAGGATACGGCGAATGTGTTGAACAGGAACTATATCGGTTAGTTGAATGCGCATAACGAGCTGTTTAGCCCATTTGACGATAGACCACAATTGCGGAATGTTGTAAAGTCAAATCAACTCCAAAGAAAATTTACATTTTCTTAGTTTTGCTTCTCCCATGACAAATTCCCATTAACCTTACTATCGTAGGTGGCTTTCAAATTGAAAAACATTCTTCTCAGATGCCTCAATAATAATGAAATCTCGTCATAACTGTTAAGGGGAGCGCCGCTCATTTGAAGAGCGCACAACTTACTACGTTGCTGGTGTTTTCACACACTATTCTCGATTTCTTCTCGAGTCGAAAATGCACAGAGGTCAATTCATTTCTTTCCTAACTTCACTGCAACGTTTTAGATTTGAGTACATCTTATCCTATCCCGCACTGCGACCTTATTCAAAGGCACCGTTCACAAGAAAGTTAGGGTACTCTTTTTTGAAGGGAACTGATAAAACTACTCTAGAATAAAGCGATAACAACGAAAAAAGCGCAAAAACGATGAACAAAAATAATTACAATGAGTCAAAAAAAGAGCTGGAAAGGGGGGTTGGACGAGTTCCACATTGAAATAACGGCGGTTAGGGACTGTTCGGGCGAGTGCACCTTTTCACCAACTTCGCTCCAATGCGAAAGTGGTGAACGGCAATTAAATTTCGTAGTCAGTCTAACGAGGGGCGGAGGGCGACCGTGGATAACTCTCCGGCCCCTTATTGTGCCCTATCCAGCCGTTTTCCGACCTCATTCCTGCACAAATGGTATCAGATGGGGCGTCGAATTCAAACCATGTGCAAATCTCCCAAAAACATTTTTTCGTGAACAGTGCCTTTAACACAAGGGCCTACCGGTCGCCTTTGACTATTTTCGGGACCTCTGAATTTCGCATAACCGATTTTTGAGATAGCTTCGTAAATCTCTTTGTAGCCTTCAATGCTCTAAGGTATGTTTTACATCCTGACCCGTAATTGCTAGAAGACGAAGTCAGAAGGTCGTGCCTGTAGCGGCGAGGCTTATCTCCGACTGATCAGTGAGACGTATCGAAGTTGCGTTGTTGCGTAACAGCGAGGCCGAATACAGTCCAGGCCTGAATAGGTGGGGTATACTGTAGCAACGAGACGGAAGGGTGAGAAGCAAGTAAATAGTAGTGCTGAAATGGCAAGGCCCATCTGCCGACTGATCCGGACGACGTCTCGGAGCTCCGCCGTTGAAGTGCAAGAGAGCCGAAGAGGGCAAAGCGATCACTGGTATTGGATAAAGCCGTAAAGGCGATTGAAGGGTATTGGTTGTAGTCCGTCAAGAATCTCCGTCCCCTGACGAGGTTAAGTGAGGCTTATATCGGTCAGGTTACGTGACTATTGAGGCTAAGAAATCTTCCTCTGTAAACACAAGTTATTTTTTGAGAACTAAGCGGTAGAGAATAGGAGCTACAAAGGAATGGAAACATACCATCTTCTTTCATGGGAACATGAGAAAAGTCGCATTTTGCGACATCTACGTTGTAGTCCAACTCGGACTTTATTCAAAGTATTAATACTCAACTCATTGTAGGATTCACTTTCGGTTGACAAGTTTCTTTTCAGGGAAAATTAAAGCAACCGTATCGTTCGATGAAGATTATGATGGTTGTCACTGGACTCTCATTAGTGTAGATGAATACCTAAAAAAGGGAGTCAGCGAGGTGAGAAGCATTTTTTCAACTGCCCCGAGTTTTCTCGAACACTGCATTTCAGTGAATTTGAGTAATAGGTTACTGTAAAGTTCCGGCTCATCTGGAGCCTTCTTGATGGTGATTGAGACTGATTTACTTCTGGCCCCTAGAAGAGCACACCATTTTGATTCTTCAGTTAAACCAGTTTACTGCCGTCATGATACGTCACAGTCCTTTGATTGGACTGATGGTCCTGAACTACGATATCTTATGGGCTTCTGGAAATTCCTCCGAAAGTTGGCTGCAAAAGCAGCTCTGCATTCCGGCTACAGCGATGATGACTATTCTTCTCTGCAGGGCAAAACAGTTACGGCAGTGGCTGTGCCCACGCAGTCAGTTTTGTTCCGCCATTGCCATTTAAATGGTAGTAATATAGGCAGATGTGGCAGCTGCTCACCCTTCCTCTTCATCCTGAGCTGCTTTGCTGTTTAAAGGCACCGTTTACGATAAATTTAGGGTACCCTTGTTTGACGGGAATTGATAGAACTACTCTAGACAACTAACAACGAAAAAAGCGCAAGAACGATGAACAAAAAGAATTACAATGGGTCAAAAAAGAGCTGGGTAGGGGGGGGGGGGTTGG